GCAGGGGAATGGGGAAAAAATAAGAACCAAGATACATCATGTAAAGGTACAAGATCCTAATGGTGAATGTAACTGTATTTTATACCTAAAATGTACCAATACACTTAATGCAAAAAAAATGATATGAAAAGAAGATGAAGAATAACAGAAAGACAAAAAAAAGTTGAGTCACTTATGCTTTAATCTTTTTAAGAAATCATTAATAGGCCAAACAAAAAGAGGCATTTTAAAACCATCTTAAGAACATATACCTACTTTTTTAGCTTTGTGACCTTAGGTAATTTTTTTTTTTGAGACAGGGTCTTGCTATGTAGTTCAGCCTGGACTTGAACTATGTAGCCCAGGCTGGTCTCAATCTCACGGCAATCCTCCTGCTGCAGCCTTCCAAGTGCTAGGATTACAGAGGTGAACCACTACACCTGGCAAGGTAATTGTTTAACCTCTTTATACCTCATGGTAATAACAGCTTTCATCTTATAGGGCTGTTGTGAGGATTAAATGAGTTATAGCTACACTTACCAAGTGTTAGCTATTTAGCCACTATCAAAGACTTTAGCCAGGGATTTAGCTCAGTGGTTCAGGCACCTGCCTCGCAAGTGCAGGTCCCGAGTTCGATCCAAAACAAAAAAGAAAAAAGACTTTAGTTTGATTTGCATTTTTTATAATTTAATGAGTAAAGCTAAGGTTAGAATCAACCTCAATGGAATGGGATATCTCTTCTAGCAAAAAGAAAGAGGTAGAAAGGGCTTTTCCAATCAGATGTATTTAGAATGCTAAAAGTGAAAGCACTTGTTGTAAAGTGTGTTCCCAAAGACTTACACTGTTGCTTCAATAAACAAGATAGCTTCCAAATAGCCTGTATCTGTAGTAGCTACATACCAATTAACCACCCTTTTTAAGTGTATTACATTTTACCATGCTTACTAGTTACATACTAGACTTGTTTGCTCCGCAATATTTCTTAAATTCATATTCACTTACCAGACACTTGTTTCCTGTACCAAGGACTGTCTGAGCAGTGTGTGGTTCTGATGTATAGTCTTTAGATGGGGTGGACCACTTGGGATCATTTACATTAAGTAAATGTGTGAGCTTCTTTTCTGCATCATTGCAAAATATGTCAATATTCTATGAAAATAAGTTGGAAAAATCTGTTTTATAAGTTGCAACCACATACATGTTTTCAGGAAATATTTCCTTTAAGACCAGAACTAAAACATTCAGACCAGAACAAATGAGACACCCAAAAGTTGACAGCAACTGTCAAACATGCCAATGCAAAAATGCAAAACCAATAGTACTGATTTGGGGGAACCTAGTTGTTGGAGGAAGGTGTGGAGGAGGGAGAAAAAGGAGGAAGTGTGTATATGTGAAGGAAAGAGACATAAGAGACCTCCCCTGCCATCTGGTTCAATCAGCAAGGCATCATGATACTAGATTTGGAGTTGTAAGATTGGGGCCTATGTTCTAGTTCCACCTACTGTCTAATAGCTGGAAACCATCACATCCATAAAGTGCTTTGTAGGGCATTAAAATCAAAGAACTGCCTCATACATCTCACATTTGTCCCAAGCATCAACTCAAATGATATACAGGTTAAACTACATGGAACTGGTCTTTACGGAGCCTTGGTTGGTCAAATACCAGCAACTTAACAATGGCATAATCTCCTACCTGAGAGTATTTTGTAAAACTTTAAAAACCTGGGAAAAATGCCTATGTGTGTGTGATCCAAGGAAAGCAGTTTTAGTGTTTCCTATTTGAGATTAATATCTTCATTCAAATCAAAGAAGCATAAACTATATAAGATGTTAGATATACAGTATAAATGTAAACTAGTAGCTTACATATTATTAACTAATCACACAGTCAGCTGCTGTGAACCACCAGTAACTCAGTATTGTTGTTTCCAAGTTCCAGTTTTCCTCCATGGTCTGCATCTCTGAACACTCTTTTCGTACGTTTTCTTAACTCACTTCCCTTCAAGTCATTCTTTCCCATCTAGTAGCTGTCATTCCCTTATTCTCTTATCTCTTTGTGGGCAATTAATATATGAGGAAACCTCATCTTATGCACTACCACAACTATCCAATTTATGCCATTTCTTGATACTGGACTGTCAAAGTAGGAAAATACCAAAATATGTCATGAAGATGAAAAGCAGTTTTACCTCAACAACATTTTTCATTTTGTTGAATCTCTCTTGAAAGTGGCCCCCTTTTGGGCTGGCAGAAAACATGGAAAAATCCACAGCAAATAAAGTAGGAATTCCAAATTTGGATTCTGGTCGCCACTGGAGGTTGCTTGCAGTAATTAACATGTGAGGTTTAATAATATCTTCATTAATATCTATCCAAAATTTTATTGCTAAAAAATTATGCCATTCATCTGTCAAATAGACCAGTGGAGCAAGACCTAGAATGAAAAAAAAATCATTAGCTAAATTTAAAAACATGAGAGACTGTTAATATACTTATTTTAGTAGGTATGAATGGTAAAAAATAAATCAAAATAACTGAATTTAGAGAAGACTCGAGATTTCTAAAATGATCTGTTGCTTAAGGTGGTAAATGTCAATTCCAACATATTCTGTCACTGAGGTCATGGTGATGCAGGTATACTCATAACAGTAAAGGTGGGAGAATCTACAATCTTTCTGGAAAAAAATTTGGCAATGCCTTGCTAAGTGACATAGGCATTTACTTTTCCACCCACCAACACTGCTGCTAGTATTTCACTCTGAGGATATATCTTCAACAATAAAATATATACAATGGTGTAGGAGGCAGCTGTAAAAATGAAAAACTCTACCAACTGATTTCCAACACATCGTGTTAAGTGAAAAATGAGACACACAAAAGGCTAGAGTATGTTAACCTTCATATAAGAAAATATGTATCTGTTTATTTGTGCAAAAGTAATTGAAGCAGCCTAAACCAGAAACTAAAGGGGCAGGGTATGGTGGGGAAAAGGGCGGACTAAGCTTGGGGTAGCAGCCTTGAGGAAGTAACACTGCTCTAATACATCATTTTATATGGCTCTGACTCTTAGAAGCAATGATAGATCTTGATTTTTAAATACCATGTTCTGCTAAAAAGGAACCAAAGTTCCTTAGAGAAGCAGTCAACCCCAGGACTGGGGCAAGGAACATATAAGATGAACCTGGAACATCTTGTGCTGCCAAAAAGGAAGTACTTAAAAAGCAAAGGAGGCTTGAAACAAGTGTCAACCTCTAAGGCTCCTATACCCAAAGCTGGAGCGATGTGAGAATAATGAAGGTAGTGGATTTTAATCCACAGAATAGGGTAAATATGCCTAAATCCATAATGGTATAAATAGTCAAATAAGTACGTAAGCCAGAGGAAAAGACAGCACTTACTTACAGAATTCTACTTCATATAGAATAAATGAGGGAAAAAAGAAATCATCATCAGAAAAATACGATAATTGTTGCAAGCAAGATCAACTGAAGGATATTAAAACTAATGGGTGAAATTCTGTTGGTGAAATGGGATTTTTATAGTCTCTTTCTCCCGAGGTATTTTATTAACTACAAAGGGAAAGGCAGTTATTATATAGGAGAGAAACCTAGCAGAAAGCACCTTAACCACTTGGTCACCAGTACCAATAATAAGAAATAGCAACATCATATGTCTTTGATCTGATGTCTGAAGGACACAGCATCATTTTGAGGGCAATCGTGCCCAAAGTGCATTGCTTCATTCCAGCCACGAGAAAAACATCAAACAAATCCGACTTGAGGGAAATGCTACAAAGTAATGATCAACCCATTCAAAAGTGTCACAGTCATGAAAAACAAAAGGCGAAAGAAGATCTATTAGACTGGAGATTATTGAGAAATATTGGGTAAATGTAACATGGGATACTGTTTAGGATCCTGAAACAGAAAAAGGTAAATAGTATAAAAAACTTCAAATCAAGGACCTGGGGACATGGTTCAGAGTAGTGCTCTTGCCTAGCACATCCAAGAGCCTGGGTTCAATCCCCAGTGCCCCTCTCCCCAAAAGAACCAATAAATCACATGAATTTAAATTTAAACAAACCTATAGTATAAGCCAGTGATGCAAACCTTTAAGAGCTTTCAATGATAACAAATAGCCCACTGTGGCATGCATGCCATAGGTTCCCCACCACTGGTACAGGCAAAAACACTGTACTAATATTAACTTTCAGATTCTAATAACTGAACAACAGTTGTACAAGGTAACACTAGAGAAAGCTGTGAAAGGAAACACTAGAGGAATATTTGGGAATTGTACTATTTGTGTGACTCTAAATGTCTAAAAAGTCTATGATAAAATATTATGAATTCTAATGCTAGAAACAAGTAGAGATGCTGGATAAGCTACAACAGGTCTGAGATGAGGAAAAGTTAGAGTTGGACTAGGCACTAAACATTCAATTCCATTATTTATAATTTGCTTCTATTACTTTGACCATTATGTGTTCCCAATAAAAGGAATGGAAAGAACTGTCATTCTCAGATAATAATTTATCTTGTTGCAAATGATGGTTTATCCCTTAATTTTTTCCAATTTACAAGTAGATTTAATGGATATTAATTATAAATATTAAATATGGGTTTTGAGATAAAAATTTCCCAAACACATTCATTTTTCTAATTTTGGAATCTGCCTCTAATTATATTCAAAATTTAGTTATATTACTGCCCGTCTCTCAAATGTCTTTTTATTTATTTTTATTTTTTCCTTAAATTCTTTTATTGGTACATTTAGGTATACAATATGTTTACATTTATCATTGGGTGCTTGTACCTGTACATGATGTATCTTGGTTCTTATTTTTTCCCCATTACCTGTGTGCCCTTCCCTTCAAATCCTCCGCCCTTCCCTATTTACATATTTCGTTTCTATTTTTTTTTCTTTTCTCATAATTTTTCCTTTCCCTTCTTTCCTTTCTACTTCCCCTCCCACCACCCCTACCCTTTTGGACCTTTTCTTCCTATTTCAAATTATCAATTATTCATTTTAATCATTTTAACCCTTATTTACACTTTTAGTTTTTCACACTAGAGAAATTATATTTACACATGTGTGTCCTATTTATTTCACTTATGAGGATGGCCTCAATATGCATTCAAATGTCTTTTTAAATATCATGATTGACCATGATAAACATTTAGATTATAAAAAAGTAATACATGAAGAATGTTTAGAATAATGCAAAAAATAATAAACTTACAGGGTAGTTTCATTTTTTTTTTTTTAATAAGGATAGGTTTCCTATCTGGATCAAACTGCACCAAAAGAAAATACAGTTGTTCCTTGACTTACAAACTCAATTTGTTCCCGAGGCTAGTTGTAACTCAAGTTGGTCAACTGCCTGTAGTCTCCTGTACAATTTTAGGCCACATTATCTTCCAGGCAGATCTCAGTGTCCTCAGAGAGACACTGGCCCAGGATTTCTCAATTAACCCCACACAGGAAAGAAAGTTGTGATGTTCCTTCCAGAACTCTTGCAGGGTTAAATCTGCATCTGGAAGCATAAGCAGCTGGCATTTGGGTTGTAACTCCAGATTCCGTTCCTAAGTTAAAACTAAAATTCTGGTTGTAACCAAGTTGTTCGTGTGTCAGGCTGGTTGTAACTTGAGGGTCCACTGTTAACTGCCAAATGGGCGTGGTGGCACCTGCCTGTAATCATAGGACTCTGGGATACTGAAACAGGAGGATCAGAGATAGAACTCAGCCTGAGCAACTTAGCTACTCAGTGATACCCTGTCTGTATAAAAAACATAAAAGGGCTGGGACTATGGCTCAGTGTGAAGGCCCTGGGTTCAATCTCCAGCATGGGGGTAGAGGGAGCCTAATCTCTCATTTCTTTAATTACAAAGCATCTTATACCAATGGTAACAACTGGAAGAATTTTTTAAAAATGTAATACCTTTGAAATGCTGACAAATCTTTACAAAAATACAAGGATAAGAAGAAAAGTATCTATAGTTTTGTAAACTGGGCTACTCTGAATTTGTACAGAGTTCTTTGTACCTTTCCAATTCCTTTCAGAAAAATCTCACTGAAAAGTCTAAGCACTTAACAATGTGTAACAGCACCATCACAGACCCCACCTGGAGTGGATGCCAGGTGCAGGTACAGACTCACACAGGACTAAGGTGAGCTTGCTAGCTTGCTCTCAATGAAGCAGTGTTGTCTTGCCTAAGTAACCACTTCCTGAAGGAGGTGAGCACCCAGTGATGGGCCTCCAGCCTCCTGTTCCCACAAGACAGGCTGAACCATTCTTCTCCCTGTCCAAATCCGATGCCTTTGCTCCCTCACAGTGCTGCTCCTGAGGGCACTTGCTAGTCAACCTCTTGTGTGAAAGCTGAGTCTACTTCCCAGGCCACCCAACTTAAGAAATGCTGTCAGTTCATTCTATATCACAACACTTCTGTAATAAAACAGTACTAGACTGAAAATATGGTTAAGTCCTCATTTTATGACCTACTCTCAAATGTTCCATTTGGTTTTGTTTCGGCAGAATGAAGTCTAAGAAAGAATCTATGAGTACAAGTCCAAATCTGTTTACAGAACTGTGACCTGGGCAGGATGGATCAGCTCTCTGAGCCACAATTTCCTCATCTTTGAAGTGGGATGACAATGACAATGGCAAATTAATTGCATTCCCATGAGGAGTGCAGGAGATGCTCTACGCCTGAGGTTCCCAACACCCTCTGCCCCACTCTGTTAAGTAAGACACAGAGACAGAAAGAAATTAAAACAGTCTCTGTCCTCCAAGAGATCACCCTCTTACGGGTGTTGGGTAGGGGAGATTGAGAAATGGAGAGGCAGGACTATGAACCATGTGGTGAGTGCTGAACTAGTCAAACATAAACTGCAGCAAAAGCTGCAGGAAGGAGGCTCTAAGCAGGCTACATTATCTGGTTTGAGAAAACTTATAAAGTCTGAGACGAACAGAGAGTGGGGAAAATGCCTCACAAGAAGGAGAACAAAAAGGTGTTCTAAGCAAAGTAGTTTAAAGGCAGCGTTAAAGGTCACACTGTCTCAGGGTTATAAAATTGTGCATTTCAGATGAGGTATGTGGGGTGGTGGTTTAAGTAAGAGAGGAAGTTGAAGAGTTGTTTAGGCATATGAAAGAGGTTTTTTTTTTAGTTTCATTTTCTAAGGCACAGAGATCCACTGAAGATTTTAAATTGAGAAGCATCACTGATTAGACCTGGGTGACTCTGGTGTAAAGTGACAGTTTGAGAGTTCCTAATACAATTTGTTTCCTCTAACATGTCACATCAAATTAGATTTTTAAAAAAGGAAGTAAAAACCTGCAAATGAGGAATGCTGTACTAAATTAGTACACAGAGTTACTCATGGAACTGGGGAAAATGATCTAGAATTTGAGACAATATCCTCTGGGGATATGGGATGTACAGGGGATAGAAACTGAAGTATCCAGTCCCACAGTGTAAACCAAGAGGCAAAGACAGGTATTTGTTAAGTACAACAAGAGCCAAGAGTCACACCAGGTTCTGGCAGGTCTCCTCACTTTTTCTTCTCCCACACCCCTCACCCCATCACCACCATCTGCTTTGGGACCACTGGAGCTAATCTTGAGTGAGTCTCTACAAAATTCCAGGCTCCGGCTCATCTCATGTTCCCTTGAGCTGCTTTCCAGGAAGCTGCCACACAGCTTTTTCTGGGGCCATCGCCTATCTCCCTGCTTCCAGGAATCCTTTCGCTGGGCCCTCTGAACTCAGTGCACCTCCACTACCCCCCAGCCTTTGCAGTAGCTGCTCTTTACCCCTTGCTGTAATAGAAACCTGGCTCTCATCTGGAGCCACAGCTGTCCCCACAGACCTCACACTACTGGAAGCTGGGATGTGGCAGATGTCCTCCTTGCTCTTGGTGTTGCTCCCTCACCCTAAAAACACTCAACTTGGAATCCTTTGTTATTCACTACTTCTAGCTGCAAGCATCTATTGATCCCTGAGGCACTCACTTCATTTCTTGAAGATTTTAACTCATCATTCACTGTTACTCTGTGACTTCTTTGGTCATGCTTCTTGGTGAGTTCAGTAAACGGACAGGTAATTCTTCCAAAAGCCTGGGCTCCCAGGTTCCTTGTTTTCTTCTTGAATGACCAGGTTATTTCTCTTAGTAACTCACCCAATGGACATACTCAAAAGATGTTCTTATTTCCAACAATTTTATCACCTTCAGAAAGCTGTAGTACTGTATCTTATTCTTCAACCACTTTCCAGCTTGCTCGTTCTAGAACCCTAATTCAAATATTCCTTCAACACCACTCCCAACGCTCAATTTTTCATACCCTGTTCACTGCTTCTCATTTCCTTAGTGTTTCTTCTTTGGTTTTTATTGTGCTCAAAGCCCAAGATCAACTATTAAATCCTTCCATTACATTTATCAAATTCTTTGCCTTTCTTTTTTCTTTTTTTTTTGTACTGGGAATTGAATTCAGGACCTTGCACTTGCAAGGCAGGCGGTGGCACCACTGAGCTAAATCCCAGCTTTGCCTTTCTTGCTTGTATTATTCACTAAACTAAACTACAATCTTACTTAAGTACTATCTTCAGTGACTTCATGCACACACCATCACAAGTTATCAGAGCTAGAAAAATATCACACAAACATTCATGAACATTAACCTCTGGTGGGCCTGGGCAGTCATGGTGCATATGCCTCAATCAGTCACTCAGCTATGTCTTGGGACGATGACTCCATGCCTTTTCTCCATTCTGACTGAGTCGTTGACTCTGCTTCCTGTTTCAGTGAGGGAATAGAAGCAAACAGAAGTCTACCACAAGTGTGCCTTTTCCATCAACTCCTCCACTTGCATCTGTACCTAAATATTTTACTGTTTTAGCTCATCTGTGCTGCTGGCTAAGGCCACTCTCACTATACAGCACTGGATGGCATCCTCAAAGGTTGACTGATAACTGCTCTACATGTGTACCTCTTTTTTTTATTCCTATCATCAAATTCTACCCTCTTTATTGGACTTTCTCATCATACAGTATCTCATCAGAATTCTATTAACACTTTCACCTTAAAAAAACAAATCTCTTCACTCTAATTCCTCTTCTAGCTACTTCATTTTTCTTCCTGTGAAGCACCCACATTCACTGTCTATGTTCCTCTTGTTCCACTTCAGTCACTCACTCCCACCACTCCATCCAAAGGCTTCCTCTGTGGGGCTAAAGCCAGTGATCAACTCTTGGTCCTCATCTTACTTACTATCAGTCCCATCAGACAGCATCTGACAGACTTGATCAGTCTCACACAAGATAATTCTTTTGGTCTCTTATTTAGCTTTCAACCTACCACACTCTAAATACTCCTCCTTCCTCTTTGACCATTCCTGTTTCGTTTACATCTTCCCCTGCCTCTAAGTTTCATACTGTTTGAATTAGGCTTTGGTTCTCTTCTCTACCCTCACAATCAAAGTGACCTCATTCAGACCATGACTTCAAATATCACCCATATGCTGATGACTTCCAAGTTTATATCTTTAGCCTAGACCATTCCCTGAACAAAGTCCTATAAAACCATCAAGTAGACACCTCGACTTAGATGCCTAATAAGCACCTAAAACCTAGTATCTAAAACTGTGCTCCTGAGTTTCTCTACAAATCTGCTTTTTTGGTAGTCTTTCCTTCTCAGCAAATGGCATCTCCATTTTTCCAGATGCTCAGACCATCCTGCACTGTCCTACCTTAAAAACAGAACCAGAATCGGACTATTTCCTGCCATGTCTACTGCTTTTTTCTGGTTCATCTCTTGCATAATTTCTTGTAATAGTCTCGAACTGGTTTCCTTTGCACCCTCACTTTTCCTGCACACCTTTCTCACCATAACAGTCTTAAGTGATCCTGTGAAAACAGGTTAAACCCTGTCCCTTCTCTATTTGAAACCCTCTGTGACTCCTTATCACTCTCACAGTAAAAGTGAAAGTCTAACAACGACCTGGTCCTCCATAGCCTCTCTTCTGGCTGTTACTGGCAGTAGGAGCAATTCTGCTATAATTGTTTGGATGTTCTTCCCCAGATGCCACATGCCCCAATCCCTCAATTCTTTGAAATCACATGAAAATATAAACCTCTCAGTGAAATCTTTCCTGATCTCTTGGCTAAAATTACATACCTTCCTCTTTCCTCTGACATCACTTCCTCTTCCCTACTTAATTTTTTCACTTAGTGCTCACAAAGAAAACTATATATGTTACTTTTTGGTTTGTAGTAGTTTTTACCCCTATGCAATAATGTCTGTCGGCTCCATGAGGACAGGGACTTGTCAGTTTTGTTCACTGCTTATGCACCTATCAGAATAGTGCCTGGCACATAACAATTATTCAATAAGTACTAACTGAATAAATGAATAAAAGCTATCCACTCCTTGAAGCAACAATAAGATGTATGGAGGGAATCAAAGCATGATCAAGATGAAATTAAATGGTATGGCAACAATGTAGCAGCAGAAGAAAAAAAATCCTTAGAGCAGTAAAACCCAACTAACTAAAGAAAACACATCAAGAAAAAGGAAAAAGGCTAGGGGTGGAGAGGTGTAGTTTGTAGTAGAGCATGAGAGGGGTGGGGTGGCAGAGAGAGAGGCACATCAAAAGACAAGGAGCACAACACATACGAAAATAAAAGTCAATAGAAAATTCCTAAATTCTTCATAACTGATTCAAGCTACTGAACTTAATAACAGTACAGTCAGGCCGGGGATTTAGCTCAGTGGTTCTGCCGCCTGCTCTGCAAGCGCAATGACCGGAGTTCAATCCCCAGTACCAAAAAAAGAAACACAGTAGTCAATAAAAAGCTTGAATATGAGATGATAAATAGCTCTGCAAGATAAAACAAAGGATTATTACAGGACCAAACAAACACATAAACACATCTTCAAAACGGGATATATATACACATATATGAAATTTAACAAGGAATAAGACATATGCAGTGCACTGCAGGAAATAAAATTTAGGACGTAAAGGCTGAGTATAATTCTAGTGAATGAAGTTGTAAAAAAGAAATAGAAGCAATCAGATAAAAATAAAACTTATCTAACATAAGGCTAACTGGTATTCCTGAAGTAGGGATCCTAACAAATGGAATAGCAGATATACTCAAAGATATCATACATTTCCCAGAAATACAGAGAGCACTGGACCTGGAGATTAAAAGAGCATATATATTACTAATACATAGCTTCATTTGGACTTCAAAAGATAAATCTTTAGGCATTCCCTACATAAAAGAAATTCACCTAAATGGGGAAAAATCAGGCCAGACCCAGACTATCCCTTACTAGAACAACAATTTCTACAAAGTTCTAAGGGAATGGAAAAAGCATGACCAGATAATATACAGGCTGAATATCCCATATCCACAATGCTTGAGACCAGAAGTGTTTTAGACATTAAAATATCTGCATATATATATAATCAGACATCTCATGGAGGGGATCTAAGTCTAAACACAAATTCATTGTATTTCATACACATTTTACTCATGTATACTTATGTTAACTTAATACTGTTTTGTTTTGTTTTTGTACCGGGGATCGAACTAGGGACCTTGCGCTTGCAAGGCAGGCGCTGGAACCACTGAGCTACATCCCCGGCCCAATACTGTGTTTTTAATGTTGCATTTTAACTGTAACCATCACATGAATGAGGTGTGGAAAGAAAGTCTTGTCAGCACCCATAAAGTTTCAGATTTTGGACCATTTTGTATTTTGGTTTTTTGCATTAGGGATGTTCAATTATATTCAGCCCAATACAGTCTCAGAATTAAGGCAGCCAGGTACACATTTCAAACCTGTGATGACCCCATGGAACATGGTACATCTGAAGCCTTCTCAGAAAAAAAAAGATTAACATAAACTTTAGTCAAAGAACTGAGGAAAGGAGAACCGTAACAAGGAAGTCAATAAACAGGAAGTCCACCAAATATTTAAGACTTTAGCCTGTACCATGGAATGTTTTAAGAGCTGGGGATATGACAATAACAAAATCCCCGACCTTACAGAGCTTACTTTTTCTGGAAAAGAAGAAACAGATATTGTCAGATACTGAGAGGTGAGGAGTGCTATGGAAAAAAATGGAGCAGATTAAAGAGGAAAAAGAGCAATGGGCTGGGGAGTGGAGGAAGCACCATTGCTTTATAAAGAGTGGCCAGGGAAGAGCCTCTTACAAAGCTACATTTCTTTTTTTTTTGGTACCAGGGATCGAACTCGGGTCCTTGCGCTTGCGGGGCAGGCGGTGGCACCACTGAGCTAAATCCCCAGTCCTTACAAACCTACATTTGACGAGTCCTGAAGGCACCAAGAGAGCCAGCTACATGGCTGACTGTGGGCAGGAGCAGAGTGCACACAGGCTCTGAGATGTGAAGACAACGATGGTGTCACAATGGCTGACGTGGAATGGGAGAGCTGGGAGCTGAGGCTGAGGGCCTGGGACAGAATAAACAGTCAAGAGACGGGAGGCTCTGTGCCTGGGCGGGGGTTAGAGCTGGACCCTGCCACCCATGGAGTGCTTGGGGAGACAAGAGAGGAGTGCGGCTTCAGAGATGGAGTGTGTGCAAAGGAGCATGGGAAGAGGAATATGCCGTGTCACCTTCAGGAGTAAGAGATGAGGGCCGGGGATTTAGCTCAGCGGTGTTGCCACCTGCCTCGCAAGTGCAAGGTCCCGAGTTTGATCCCTGGTACCAAAAAAAAAGAATGAGAGATGAGCTGGACTAACATGATGGTTGTAGTAGAAGCTGAACATGTTGGAGGTTGGAATGTTCAGTTTACTGAGATTTTAATTATTTGACAGTAATTACTACTATGCTGCAAACATTTTTTAAAATTAAATAACATGGAATGAGATGTAAGATGCTACCCTAAAATAACGTAGAATTGCCTTTGATTAAGAATCAGAGGTTAAAATAGGCCAATTTTAACATCACTAGTTAGTAAATTTGCCAACTGGTAGCTCCAACTAATCATTAGGAAGGCAATTTAAAAGAATGTTTTGCAAAAGAATCAATAAGAAGCTACAGTGTGAGTTACCTATTTTTTTCACAACAGAAACTACAAATCCTATGAGGTCCACTTCAGAACAAGATGGCTGAAAGTCTGGATCTAATAGTCTGTTGAAGCAAAGGGCCTCCCTTGGGTGATAAATCTGGAATAAGATTTCATTTGAAGCCTACAGGAAAAAAAAAAGTCAGTATACGGAAAGTCTATGAATATGCATTTATTAAAATTGAAAAATTATAATAAAAGTTTTGTACCGTTAGCTGTTGGTACTGAGTTTTTTTTGTTGCTGTTAACTGTATGTTTGCTCTTTCGTATTTACTTTTAGATTTTGATGCTGCAAGATGATAGATTCTGTATCTCTTTCCCTCTGTTAAGAGGGAATATAAATCTGATGATGGTCGCCAAATACTCAATATAACTGTTAAGAGAAAGATGAAGATACTACAATGGGAAGAATTGATAATCATTAAAATTCTTATGTAAAAATAAGCACAGGTAACAATAAAAATCAATCTATTATGACCATGAGCACTGGTAGCCCGTTTTATTCTTCTGATATACATTATACTTTATCAAGCAATTACAATCTTTTAAAAGTAACATTTTTAAAAACAAAACTGATAAAATAAACACATTTGCATACAAACCTGAATAATTTTCTTTTCTCTCATAGCTTACAATGCGCAACTTCAACACAGTTGTGACATTCCTTGACAGACCTTGTTCCCCCTGTTCAGCAGATTCCATAGCCTTCCTGAACTCCAGCTGGATCTGTGCTTGTCTTTTATCATTCAACATTTTTCTGTAATTGTTCAAGGCTCTTACTTGCTCTGCACTGAAATAACCCTGTGACCATTTAAAATATTGAAAGAAAAAACAAAATAAAACAGAAAGTCCATGTATAATAACTAGATTGCTTTACACAGGAATAAAATACAACAGATTTGAGTTCATTTTAAAGGCAGGGATCAATATACTCAGTTTATCAAATAATATTCTCAAGGGCTTTAAACTGTTTATTAATCCCTTTGAGAATTTCCCTAGGGCAAAAAAAAAAATTCCCCAATTATAAATGTACTTTAATCAATCACCACCATCCACATTATAACTGGCTAACATGAATGACTGCAATATATATATTTTTGATACCCGGGGATTGAACTTGGAAACTTGTGCTTGTGAGGCAGGCGGTGGAACCACTGAGCTAAATCTCTGGCCCAATGACTGCAATATTTGAAACATGGATTTGCGTGTGGAAAATATACTAATTCATTTGATTCTCACAATATTTCTTTGAGATAGTTGCTATTATTGTTTCCATGCTATAACAGATGAAACTGAGGCATAGGGAGAATAAGTTACTTGCACAGGCCATACTGGAGAGGACAACCTCATTCTTGTTAATTTTTTGGTAGTGGGAATTGAACTTGGGCCCTTGCGCTTGTCAGTCAGGCACTGTGTTGCTGAGATACATCCCAGCAAGAACCTCATTCTTAAGAATGCAGTATAAATCCCGCTCCCTCAAAAAAATTCAGTATAATTTCATTAACTCTTTGGAACAGTAGATATAATTGAAAACAGACATGTGCTACAAATACTTTTATCTTTTCGCCTCAAAACTTCTCTTGCTTCATTCCAACAAATTTCTGTCTGTACCTCTTAGGAATTTTACCCAGTACAGTAAAAATGAGTGAAAAATAAAATACAGCAGGAAACAGAATCTAGGTATGTAACACACTAGCCTGCTGTTATCTTACACATTTTAATATCTGGGAGACTGTAAAATCTTTGTATCATTAAAGGTCATTCTAAATATACAGACAACATTTAGTTCACACATGCATTTTTTAAAACCTGCATTTCAGAAGGCCTACAACATTATTACTGTGAACAACTTATTTAACAAGGCTACTTTATTTTTATTTTTCCTCTAGTACTGGGGATTGAACCCAGGGCCTTCACACTGAGCTGCATCACCAGCCCTCTTATTTACTAATTTTAGAAAGAGTCTCCTGAAGGCCAGGCTTAAACTCACAACCCTCCTGCCTCAGCCTCCCGGAGTGCTGGGGTTACAGGTGTGTGCTAGCGTGTCCAGCAGTGTTTTAGAAATTGATGGCTATTTTCCCCTCTAAGAGTTAGTGATAATATTATCTAATTCAACTGTCATATAATCATACCCTTAAAGCTTTAGAGATAACCTAATTTTAGGTTTTTATCAGACAGAAGGTAGGAATGAGGTCTGAAGAGATAAGTCACTTGTCCAGCTGCAAAGTGGGTGAATTTAAGACATTCATCTCTTTCTGCCTCCTTACAGAATTAGTAAATTCTACAAGAGGACCAGACTAACAAAATATTTTGTAAAATTTTGTGGATTAGGCGATCCACTTTCTAGGTCCCCTCCTGTTTCTTTCAGGCTGTCTCTCCCTCAAAATTTCCTACTCTTAACCTCTGTCATTCCTCAGAATTCATTCTTCGATTTTGAGGAACATGATCTCAGTGCATTGAACATCTAGTACGTTTGGGATTTACATCTATTGCCCCCATATCAGGACTTCTTTCAGGCTTCTATGAGGTAGGTGATGAGATTCCACGGGGAGCCAGCTATTGTGACTCTTCAGAGCAGCCCACTGTATGTCTTCTAGACTACGGGGTACTTCTATTTTTGCTTCTATCCTTTCTACTCTTTAGTTCAGCCCAAGTTCACTCTGCAGAGCCAGTTTCTTCCTTATCCCTTCATCCCTTACTTTTCCAATAAATTTCTGGCATTATAAAAAAAAAATTTGTGGATTAAATTAAAACTATCTTTATGATGTCTCACAGAATCCACAAGCATCAACAAATAAAGCCTTGATTTAGAGACTTGCAGCAATACTCACAGGCTTTAAAACCAGACTCACTTCTCTCAAGGGGAACCCAAATTGTAACATCTGAGAATATGAGGAAATTCTGTTCAGAACGTTCAGAACAGCAGTGGTCACATTATGATGGAATACTGTTTATTTTGTAGTCGGACTATTTAAGAAAGTTAAAACTATATTCACAAGATTAAGTCATCAAGTAAATGAAAAATTAAATCAATTCATAAACAAGAAGTTTACCCAAAATATTCCCCCCTCCTAACAAAGTAATCATGACATTTGCATTCTTTCAGACATTTAAGAATCAAAAATTTAATTAAGAAGGTACCTTAGTTAATGACAAAGCCATAATTCTAAAGCCTACAAAATTTCTAACACAGTTTAGTGCTCCTGAAGCTTTCCTGTCCTAGTATCCTAGAAGTAGAGATTTATGAAACAAACTATGCAGGACATGAGAAAGAGCTGAGGACATGGAAATCTAGACACTGCTTGAAAGCAGTTGCTTTACCTTAAAAGCAACAAATTCTACCTGCATTTTAAAGCGCATTTATTTAATATATGAAGTTCTTGAAACTTCCCTTTTTCTTCCTCACACAAAATGAAAACACACCACACTGGTCTGGCACATCACTGAGGACCAGAAATGTACTCAGCCCCTTTGGGGGACTCAGCACTCCCATCTTCCAGGAGGAGGATCAGAGCTTGCCATCTGCCTCTCACTCTCTCACCTCAAGGTAATCCGGGTCTGGTGCATTCCTCACTGCTTCATAAAGCTCTGCACCACCCTGCAGAGCACAGACCTCCTCTCTTGATGCTGTGTGTGAGAGTGTACACCATTTTGTAGGTTTTTCTAGGGAAAAAAAGAAAGCATTACTAATTATCCAAACCAAAAATTTAACAAAAACTACAGAACCAAGCAAATATCACCTAAAAAGGGAGATCCAGTTTTTAAAAATGTATCTGCTAAGTTTCCTTAAAAGCTTTCAAACCAGTATACTCATGATTTTTTTTTTAAATGTCATACACAGACTTAAGAGTAACTTGGTAACTTGTAAATTAAATAAATGATTTCTCTTACTGATTCACTTATTTACGAAAACAGTATGAACCAGCATTATTTTTGTGGTACTGAGGATTGAACTCAGGGCCTTAATACTTGGCTACATTCCCATTCCTTTTTTTTTTTGGTACCAGGGATCGAATTCAGAACCTTGCACTTGCCAGGCAGGAGTGGAGCCAGTGAGCTACCTTCCTGGGCCCATTCCTTTTTAAAACAGGGTCTTGCTAAGTTGTTCAGTCCAGGTTTGAACTTGACGACCTCCTGCTTCAGCTTCCCAGAGTCCTGATATTACAGGGATGTTCCACTATGTCAGGCTGAGCTGGTTATAATTTTAAGTAAACAAAATACTGGGAGTCAAATCTCTCTTGTATAGAACATGAAGTTAAATAATATAGAAAATCATGACAAAATCTATGAAAACATAAAATCTTCAACAATAATAAAGGTAGGTTAGAAAAAGGAAATTTACATCATTTAAACATAAAGAAATTCTGCTTTTTATTAACATTGATGCCACAGGGACAATAAGCCCTAGTTCCAGGTGTAACATATGAAAGCTAATAACTTCAATGACAAAAATGTAAAGTTGTATAATGCAAATAAGGATATTAAGGAAGAAGAGTGACAGAAGGCTTAGGGAAAATAAGCTGTTTTCCTCTTATTGCTCTTCTTTCTGTAATACTAAAAAAAGGATTCTCTAGATACCTTACTGCTGAATCTTAGAGGAACTGTATTTAAAGGTCCTGAAAAAAGCTGAGGGCATGTTATATTTCACTGCTCAAGCCAATTACAAATTATCTAAATGCTCAGTGTTTTGAAGAAGAAAGTGGTAATGTAGGGTAAGTTAAATGTTTATCTATGTATCTGCATAATAAAGTTTTTTTAAAAATCCAGGTCCAAATGCAGAATTTTAAAAAGAATTACTCCAAGATAATTTTAGAAGCCTCTAAAACTTTGCTGTCCTATGAAAAATAATTAATTTTAATATACAATTCACTTTACCTTCATGCTCTTCAAACTGTCCTTGAATTTTAGTGAATAAGACTTCTAGTTTCTTTTGTTGGGCCTCTGCATGTTTTGCTGCTTCCTTTTCTTCTTCTCTTTCATTGCGAAATATATATAATCCAGATGATGTCTTCTCCATCCACTATAAAATGTTACATTAAAAAAATAGTAGGAAGGGAACATTCAAATTATTTGCCTCAAAAGAAAAAAATACACAGTAAGTTTCATGAATATATCGTACCTGTATAGGGTATATTCTTTGAACAACGACATCAGCACAACCAACATTTCCTCCATCGCTGAACAGTGATGACAGAGGCAGAGGGAAAGGCCTAGGGTCAGGAAAGAACCCCAGCTTGGTGTACCAGCAAGCAGGCCTAGTACTGTTAGCTGAAACCTGGACAAATAAATGAATCAATCGATTCAGAAATTAAATATATATTCAACACTCAATATGGATATGGAAATATATATTCAATATGGATATGCCGTCCATAAGACAAGAACCAAATGCAACAACAACAGAAAACATTCAGAAAATAAAAAAAGATCTCTTGAAAATTATGCGAGTAGACACAAATTCACTTTAAGGATTAGAAGACATAAATGAAGAACTATTGTAGAAAATAGAGAGACCAAGAGACAACAAAATAGAAAAAAGAAAAAAAGACCAGAAAATTAGAAGACCAACGTAGGAGGTCTAGTAACCAAATATCAGAAAATCTAGACATAAAGAAGAGAAAATTATCAAAGGACCACTTCAAAAAAGTTTCCCAGAACTCAATGAAGGACACAATTTTTAGATTGAGTGCCCAGGACAATGATTTTTTTTAAAAAAGGAATGAAGTTCTCTACTGTAAAATTTCAGAACACTGAGAAAGAAAAACGCTCCACATAATGAAGAATTGAGAAGAAAAACATCAATTAACTTAGCTATATACTATAGTAATAAAAAGAGCTATAGTAGAAGGAAGACACTAATAAAAAAAAAGTCTTCAAAATTCTAAAGGAATAATTTCAACCTAGAATTCTATATTCAGCCAACAATACCATAAGATCTCAGAGAGCTGTAGGTTCCCTTTCTCAAGAAGCCTCTGAGCTGAGTGTGGTGGTGCATGCCTATAATCCCAGCACTCTGTGAGGCTGAATAAAGAGGACTGCAAGTTCAAGTCCAGCCCAGGCAACTTAGTGACTTAGCAAGAGCCTGACTCAAAAAAAAAAAAAAAGGACTGGGGATGTACTTCAGGGCAAACGCCCTGAATTCAATTCCCAGTACTGGGGGGTAGGAGTGCCTGAGAGTTATGAGTGTCTAGAATAAAGAATAAGTCTAGAAAGATAACATGAAATCCAGGAAAAGGGCTTCTAATACAGCAAGATTTCTAGAATGGTAAACGTGGAACACACAAAGAAAATACCAACTTCAGAACAGAAGCAGGAGTGTGGAAAGGTCCAGGGGGTCTCCAAAAGAAGTAAATGAAGCTCAAGGAAGTATTTTAACATTTTGGGGTGTATTGTTGTAGATCTTGTATAGGAATGAGTCAAGTTGCAAAAAATATTTTTGATAGTCATTACAATGTAAACACAGAATGTAGACTTCACCAGAAATCATGCTGCATTAGTAAAAAAGAAGACAAAGGAAGAGAACTACGTAGCACTGTTGGTATAAAAGCAAACTTCTCATCTTCCACAGCAGGAAGTTAGCAGTTAATGTCTAAATTACAATGGAAGATAGAGCAAGATAAGCAGAAGAAACAGCCAGAGGGAGTGGAAGTAGTTGCTTCTTCAGCACAAACAGCAGGTACCAGGGCTGTGCCAGGGATGGCTTTTAGGGAGGGGTTCATAAGCCTTATATTATTTGCATCCCCAAATTATGTACATGTATTGATTTGATAAAACATGAATATTAACCAAGAAGGTGAAAGCCTTTACAACTTTGACATACTAAGAAAAACAAAACAAAAGCCTGTTTGTTGGATGGAATGCTTTCTGTAAGAAGCAACTCACTGAAGTGAAGGCCAAATAAAATCTCTTTACCAGAAAAGTGTTTAATTTATAAAACGTTCTCCTAAATTAGAAGGATCCAGAATACAAGAGATGTCAGTTCTTTACAAGATTAACTCAGAAGTAAATCTGAACGTGCAATATTTAGTAGCTTTGAAAGATAAAACAGCACAGGATTCAATATGACAATGTCCTGCTAGTTTCAAATTTATAGAAATGAAGAGTATATTTTATTATTTCATACTCAAGAAGCACTGAAATCTAATTTTCTAATCACACTGGTATAAGAATGTGATCAAATAATCAGGATCGAAGCAAAGCTATGAGAACAATGTGGCAATAAGGGATTACAGGCACCAAAACTGAATTATGGTGAAAACTTTCTCTTGCTCTTTAATTGAAACTGCATCTAGCTCAGTTAAGAATATCTCTGATTCTCCTCCATAACACCACTTACTGAACAATCTGCCTCTTACATTAAGATCATCAAAACTTTGGAAAGGAAACACAGCATCATTAATGACGTAAGTAAATTAAAAAATTTTAAGTGTAAAACTGCTTAAGAATTTAAGTGAATCTTACCTAGGTGTACATTGGTTTAATTTACCTTTAACATAAGAGAGTCTGGGGCTTCAAGAGGTGTACAGGCATCAGGAGAGCCCACCAGTTCTGCTCCGTGGATAATGATCTTCTGACCCACACCCAGCCTTCCGTTCTTTAAGAAAGCTAAGAGAGGAGGGTCCAGCTGGGCCTTGACAGCATACCATCCATCTGTAAGTTCGATAGCGGCCACTTTTTTGGTATCTGCACCACTGGTTTTATTGCTAGAAGTTTCAGATGTATTTGTGTTCGATGAAACAATGTCAGAAACACAGAGAACAAGTGTTTTTGCAGCTGTATCATCCCTTTCCATTATCTTTTTTAAAGATGATCTTCTGTTTCTATCAACTTCCATGTCATATCTAAAAATTTTTTAAAATGCATATTTTAGGAATTGTGCCTCTAGAATTTCACTATAAACAAAGCCACTAAATAATTAAGAAAATTTATCAAAGAAATAATGTAAAGATAATCTAACATTTTTTAGTTAGAAATATATTGTTAAAATGAGTAAAAAAGCAAAAAATGCTTTAGCAATTCCTGAATAATGGATCAAATTAGTAATTAATATTCTTTTCATACACCAAGAGGTTAAAGAGGGAAGCAAGAGACGTGCAACATGCGATCTCTCTTAAGTGAGGGCTGGGAAAGGATGAGAGAACAACTTTATACAACTTGAAGGCAAGGAAATCACAAACTGCAGAGGTCTGGGTCGTACCACAGGAGATGATTACTTAGCATGTTTTCAACTTGCCTGTATTTTAGTTGAAGAAGGACCCTTTCTGGGTTTAGGCATCTATTAGCAAATTCCTGAGGAAAAGAAAATTCCATAGCTGCCAGTTTCCATATAATCCATCTGTAGTGATTATAGACCCAAACTCTAGAAATAAGCTTTGGATTCACACCTGGGGTGTCACACAGAGCCCTGAGGAAATAAATGTGGAAGAAACAAAAAACTACATCAGATAATATTGAATTTAACAACTGTCACATGATTATCCTCTGTACAAAAAAAAACTACATTGTCAAGACTGTTCAAGTTTTTATGTGTGAACATACGATCTATAATTTCAGAAAATTATTTATCATGTATCAAAATAGCATACAAATAAAAACTCTTAGTGAAATGATCAATAAAATGATTTAAATTTACATAGGGTTCTTCTGCAAAAATGAAATTAGAAATAATTGTATTTTAGACAATTTTTTTCTTATTACAGAGACCATTCTTAGAAATCATACCTGAGGGCCTGGGGTTTAGCTCAGTGGTGCCACGCCTGCCTTGTAAGCACAAGGTCGGAAGTTTGATCCCCAGTACCAAAAAATAAAGAAATCACACCTGAATGACCTTCCCTAGTCTTGGCCTCGACTTAATATCATTCCTTATCTTCTCAAATCTCTTTACTCTTCAGCTTTTCTTATTCTCACTCTTTGATCCTATTTGCTTCTCCAGGTACTGCCCCTTTCTTTGCTATAGTTTGGATAATGATGTCTCGTCCACAAATTCGTTTTGAAACTCTCCTCCTCCAACACAACAGTATTGAGAAGAGGGGCCTTTAGGTCACTGGGGGTGTGTGCTTAAAGGGTTCCTTTCTCTTCCTCTTGCACACTGGTCATGAAGTGAGCAGTTTTGCTCCACCACACAGTCCTGCTATGATGTACTCAAAAGCAACCTGTCATGAACTAGAACCTCTAAAACTGGAGCCAAAATACCCTTTTCTCTTTATAAGTTGATTATCTCAGGTTTTTGCAATAGTAAAAGAAAGCTAACACATGCAACACAATGTTTTTCTTCTGTAGTAGACAATATTTAGCAGCATTAAAAAAAATAATTTTTGCATCTTAAAACACACAAGCTTAAACTTATTCCTTTTGATCTGACTTCCTCCTCCAGGTAGTGACTTTTTTTTTTCTGCTTCCTTCTTTGGAAATTCCTGAAACAACTGACTATATTCTGTCTCCTTCTCCTCTTCTTCAACTGCCCATTAACTGCACTCTAATTAGGCTTTTCCTCTACCAATTGAATCCCCTGAATGAGGAGTCAGCAGATGAACAGAACAGTTCTAAAGAAGAGTCTTGAGCAGATGGACTCGAGAGGGCCATCATTCCCGTGATTACTGCCAATAAGTGTAAGCCCAGGTCAGAAAGGGAGTGGGCAAATCTTGAAAAGCAAAAAGGGGTGAAAAATGCTCTTCAAGAAAGATTCCCAAAAGAGATCTAGAATAGCAAAGGAAATTCTGGGCAACAAAGGCAAGGCGGGGGGCATCACAATCCCTGACTTGAAACTATACTACAAAGCTACTGTGGTAAAAACAGCAAGGTACTGGCAAAAGAACAGACCTGAGGCTCAATGGAACAGACTAGAAGATGAAGAAACAACTCCAGACATACTCAGCCACCTTATCTTTGACAAAGAAGCCAAACACATTCACTGGAAGAGATAGCCCCTTTAAAAAATGGTGCTGGAAAAACTGGCTTTCCACATGTCCAAGATTGAAACCAGACCCATATCTTTCATCATGCATTAAAGTAAAATTGAAATGGATCAAAGATCTAAATATTAAGAGAGAAACAATCTGCTGGAAGATAGAATAGGTGGAACTCTAGAAAACATTGGTGTGTACAAAGACCTTATGAACAAAACCCCAACTGCACAGGTACTATTACAAAGAATCAACAACTGGGATCTCATGTTATTAAAAGGCTTTTGCACAGCAAGAGAAATCATCAACAAAGTGAAGAAACAACCCAGAGTGGGAAAATTTTTTTTCCAGCTATTCCTCAGACAAAGGACTACTACCTAGAATATATAAAGAACTCAAAAATATCAGACCTCCCAAATTTAAGCCCCAATCCAAAAATGGGCATCTAAAATGAACAGACACTTCTCAAATAAGTAAAAACAGTAAATATAAGAAAAAATGTTCAACATCATTGGTCATTCAAGAGATGCAAATTAAAACAACGCTGAGATTCCACCTCACTCCAGAAAGAATGGCTATTATCAAGAAATCAGCCAACAACAAATGCTGGTGGGGCTGTGGAGAAAAAGGAACACTTCTCCACTGTTAGTGGGAGTGTAGACTGGTGCGACCACTATGAAAACCAGTGTGGATATTCCTCAAAAAATTAAAACTACAGGTTACATTTGACCCAACTCTTCCTCTTCTTGGTATCTTCCTGAAAGAATTAAAACCATCATACTACAGCAATATATATACATCCATGTTTATAGTGGCACAATTTGTAATAGCTAAATATTGGAAATATCCCAAATGCGCATCAACTGATGGATAAAGAAGATGTGGGTTTTTTATATAATGGAGTACTACTCTGTCATAAAGGACAAGCTTGAGACATTTATAGCTAAATGGATGCACCTTGAGAACACACTCTTAAGTGAAATAAACTGGACACACGTGTTTAAATACCACATTGTTTCTCTGGCATGAGAAATCAAAAGTAAAATAAGGACCAAAATGTATAGCAGATACTGGGAAATGAGAAGAAAATATTCAAATGAGAAAGGAAGCAAGGGAGGGAGGAGGAAGAAAGGAAGGGACATGAAAAATAGTGAAAATAGAAGGAAAAATGGAAATAAAGCTTTTGTATATAGGAAGGGGAGGGAGGAAGTGGGAAGAAGGGAAGGGGCAGGATATAACATGTATAAGTGCAAATTTCCTACAATGAATGTTATCATCGTATATATCTAAAATGTACCAATAAATGTTTTGCTTAAAAATAAAAAAAAAACAGGTTCCAAGAAAGGGGTAGAATCAATGCCTACTAAACCCACCCCCAGAGAGAGACATTATATATGAGCTGAGTGTGAAAAAGCCTTTAGTAATAGCTCAAATCTTACCAAATCTCTTACTGGAGAATATACACTAGGGAGAAATCTTATGTGTGCACCAAGTGTAGGAAGGCTTTCAGCCACTGTGTCAACCTTACCCTTCATTACAGAAGGGTACATAAGTGTAGGAAAGCCTTGAGGCAGAGCTCAGGCCTTCTTAAACATCAGAAAATGCACACAGAAGGCGTGTCATATCAAATGTAAAGGTGTGGAAAGGCTTTCAGTGGCAAAGGCAGCCTCATTCATAGCTATACAGAGAAGCCCTATTAGTGTAATGAGTGTGGGAAGAGCTTTAGTCAGCACACAGGTCTCAGTTCACATCAGCGCCTCCACACTGGAGAGAAGCCCTATAAATATAAGGAATGTGGGAAGCCTTCAACCACAGCTCAAATTTTAATGACCATCATAGAATCCACACTAGGGAAAAGCCCTATTGGTGTAATCACTGTGGAAAAACTGTAGCAAGTCAAATCTTTCCAAACATCAGCGAGTGTATATTGGAAAGGGAGAAGTGTTGTAATTGTCAAATATGGCCTTTGGCTACTGTCTCTGTAAACATTAAAATGCAATGCAGTAACAGCTGATAGATTTTACTCCACTCAATATCAAAGGTCGCCTGTGGAGTGAGCTCTGCAGGGTATGTTAGGTGAGAGGTCCACAGAGAGCAGCAGTGGGCTCTGCCCTGGCAGCCTCCCAGGGCAGAGTCCCCTTCTCTACACTGCAGGACCCCATGAACCATGCCAGCATTGTCCTCTGTGTAGTTAAATTGATGTGTATCCAGTATAATAAAGGAAGAAACATTAAAACTTGTTTAGCTGTTGTGTTCTGGTACTGTAATTTGTAAAAAATTGAGCTGAACTGAATAGAATTTAATAAGATTCAGAATAAACTTAATACATAAAAAAAGCTATTTTTAATAAGGTTAGTAATCCCCTCTGCATTGCTAAATCCAGTGAATGATTATCAGCCTCATCTTACATTACCTACCAGCAGTAATCATCATAGCTGCTCATTTACTATTCCCTAAAATGGTATTTCCATGGCATGCAACATACAGACTCTACATTTATTCCTAACTTTCTGATAACTCTTCCTTTCTCATGGCGTTAAATTCCATCTACATGCTGACAACCCAAAATTGATTTCTTTGGTCTCTACTTCACCTATGAATTCCACAAATGCATATCCAACTGGCCACCTAACATCTCCACTTGGATGTCCACTATCAGATTCCAAACTTCAATTATTCAAAGCTAAGTCCCAATTTCCCTGCTATCTTTGTTCTTCTCAATTATAGTAGCGTTAAGTGGTAACTATCCTTGTAGCTGCTGAGGCCCAAGCTTCTCCTCTCACACTCCACATCCAATCCTTGGTCAAATCCTAATGGTGATACCTTCAAACTATATACAGAATCCAACAGCCTTTCACCAGCTGCCACCTTCATGGTCCCCGCAACCATCTTGCACCAGGATTTCTGCAATAGCTTCCTAAGTGGCCTCTTGGGTTTCATCTTTGGTCCTCCCCACAGACCAATCTCAATAAGTAGCCAGGGTAACTTTTTGAAAAGTCAGATCCTGTCTCCCTCTGCCTTAAACCTTCTTTCTAATGGTTTACTCAGAGCACAAACTGCTATTCATGGAATAAAAGCCAAGGTTTTCATGAAGGTCTATGAGGCCCTCTTTCTACCTCACTGACTTCTACTCTTCTCCCCACTCCACTCTAGCTGCACTAACGTCCTTCTTGCTCGTCAAATACTTCAAAAGCACATTCTCCCTCAGACTCTGTAATACCTTCCCTGACAATCCTGTGCTCATTCCCTGTACTACCTCCAGGGTATGTCAATGAAGCCTTTCTGACCACTTTATTTAAAGTTGCAGCTGGGAGTGGAGGCACATGCCTGTAATCTCAGCACTCTGGGAGGCTACGGCAGGAAGATTGCAAGTTTGAGCCCAGACTGGACAACTTAGTAACTCAGCAAGATCCTTTCTCAAAATAAAAAAAAATATAAAAGGGCTGGGAATGTAGCTTAGTGTGAAGGCTCTGGGTTCAACCCCCAGATTCATCTCCCCTGAAAAACTGCAACTCTCCTCATCTTACCTCCTCTATTTTTCAAGCTTTATTTATTTTCTATTTGCATAGTACTTGCCACCTCCTAATATACATCTTACTACTTTAAAGAATTTTCTGCACCTTCCACTCACTAGAATACATAACTCATTAAGCCAAGGATCTTTCTGTTTTGCTTTGCTGTCTTGAGCTTAGACTACTACTTAGAACACAGTAGATGCTCAAAAAATATTTGTCGTATGATCAAAATACAACTGAAAAGAGCTCAAACATGCTCACTTTATGAACTCTGACCACTTGACTACAAGGTAAATGATCTCTACATTGTGCAGTCTGTATAGTCCAAGAAAATAACACAAGTGTTGTAACTATTCTTTTCCTACCAGAATCTATAACCAGACGTGTTATGTAAGAAACATGCAAAATGTACACGGGGTTACTTTCTTAAAAATATTCCAAAAAAGTTAAAACACTTCAGGAAGAAATGTTTTACTACGTTCAAAAATTAATAATTCTGGAAAGATGTATAAAGATTTTTTAAAAAATAAAAGCACTAAAGAAAGGATTCCCATCTCTTCCCATAGCTTGGTGTAATACATCCTGATAGTAAACAGAAGAAAAAATGATTATATAGTTTCTAAATTGTTGATGCTTTAGAGTAGTGGTGTCAAACCTAAGGCATACACATGACAGTGGGCTGTTTGTATCCCTGAAAGTTGCAAAAGGTTTGCTGTCACTGCTTTAGAGTGAAGATATTTTCTAGTTATTTGGTATTACGAATACTTAAATATTTCTGATTAACTTCAGTGTTTATATTTATAAATTATACAATGAAAGAGAATGTGACATAAATGTGCGCATGTTTGTGTGTGAGCGAGTATACCATAAAGCCACTCAAATTTAACTTTTCTTACCAGCTCTAATTAATGCATAAGAGAAACAGCCAATATAAGAAAACCTTATTCATTAAATTCTAAGCCAAACTACATTCACACTTCCAGAGACCAAGCCCATTTAGGGTAATAAAGATGTCAGGGATTACTTCTTAAAAGATTTTATCAGAATGTCTGCTGAACCACAATGTACTTAAAATGATTCAATACATAAAAATTAAATTTCTAGCCAGCTTTAGTTCAAGAGACATAAAGACAAAAGGGCAATTGTGAGGAAGAGAGGGATGATAGAGTATGTAAAAGTTAGCACATTTTGCACAGTACCTATAAAATTCCTCTTTACCAGCCTTTCCATCATTGGTAGGTATAAGCCATCCACCATCAGCCAACTGTATTCCCTTTCCAGCCTGTAAATCTTCCTTACCAAAGTAATCCTGAGTGTGAAATTGAAAAGATCCTGCATTTTTGCTGTTAATTTTCATGCAATGTTTAGATATGCCATACATATAGAGCTGCACAAAATAGAAAAATTTGATAATAAAAAACAAAGTCAAATAAAACACTTGATAGAAAAAAACAAGTATAACACCCCAACAATGAATGTACCAAAACTTTTTCATTTAAACACTAAAATATTTATTATTTACTGGCCTGAGGGTAGAGCTGAGTGGTAGTGTGTGCTGAGCGTGTGCCATGGGTTCCAATCTCTAGTACCACACACACAAAATGAAAAACCCCTCAAAACAAAAAAACTTTATTAGAAGCTAGAAATTGTAATGTACTATAAATAACCTATACCTTCAAAAGCCTGTGCATGTTTTCATTTCTTCTGTGTATATGCCACCTCCTGATAAATATGCCACAGGAAGGCATTCTAGGGATTAAAAAATAATTTACCAAACCTATTAAGTTCCAAAAGGTGAAAAGGAGAGAAGATGGGAAAGTTTAAGTAGTTTAGGGAGTCTGACTCACCTTCAAGGTGCTTTCTTTCACCCCAACATACCTAACCCAATGTGTCTTTTTTTTTTTTGGTACTGGAGATTGAACTCGGGTCCTTGAGCTTGCAAGGCAGGCAGCGGAACCACTGAGCTAAATCCCTGGCCCCCAATGTGTCTTTTTGTATGTACAGCACTTGATGCTAGAGTCAGACTCTTGCTCTGGAATTATGGCTCTTCCACTTACTACTTAAGTAACTGTAGGGAGTTACTTCACCCTCTCTACGGTACAGTCCTCTCATTTATAAAATGATGGAAAAAATGATAGTGTTTTTCTTTGGGGTGGTTGTGAGGATTAACTTAAGTGATATATAACTGATGCATGTAAAGGGCTAAGAGTTCCTTGCATATAAAAAACGTTCAGTGTTAGCTGTTGATACTATCAACATTATTTCCACCTTTCCGTTGCAAAAAATTCTACCTAGATAATTATGGCTTGCCTACAATCCTCTTCTAAAAATGTAAAAAGCCTTTAGAAGGTTCAGGGCTATCAATTCTTCACTTTACATTCAAGGTGACTACTTTGCTCTAAAGCCTAGATTTGAAGGATTAAGAGAAAGAATGCTTTTTAGGCACAGATCACTTGGACAGGATAAGGCAGTCTGCCTAAGGAAAGGGAGGTGGCCACCAAAGGTTGATGTAGAAATATGATTTCATTATCTGTTCTAGCAGTCATATGCTGATTCTTCAAATAAAACAATCTGCAGATCCTAGTTAATAAAGTCACCCTTTTCTATAAAAGCTCTAAGTATTATAGACAAAGGTGTACCTGTTTATGAGAACATGCAGAGGGAACTCGGCCTCCAACTGCTGCCTTCAGAGAGATTCGAGGCAGAGTGGATGTTTTTGCAAGGTACAGACTACCTGGTTGTGGAAAAATATGCTGCCTTTCTTTTTTTTTAATTCGAATATCCTGTATTTCTCTGGCTTTCTGAAGGCTTGTCATTAAATCTGTTGAAAAACAAATTAGCAAAAAATGAAACTGACTATAAATTTAAAAAGTACAACCCCTGCTTTACAAAATTACTTATCAATATTCTCAAATTTTACATGCAGAGAAAAAAAAGAGCTCCTAACCACTTCTAAATATTCAAGGATTTTAAAAAACTCAACTTGTAGAACTGTATAAATAGAAATACATCTATTATTTTTGTCTCAATTTTGGAAGAAAATTTGTAGTATGATAAATCTATTTCAGTAAGAGCAGTCTAGATTGTGTCTAATCGCCTATTTTTTAAAAGAAGAAAGTCTACAAATAGTTATCTTCAAAACACAACATGAATCAGGCTGGGGATTTAGCTCAGTGGTGCTGCTGCCTGCTTCGCAAGTACAAGGTCCTGAGTTTGATCTCCAGTACCAAAAGAAAAAAAAACATGAAAATAATTTAAACCTAATCTCTGGATTTAGATAATCTGAAGCATTAAAAAAGGTTCTGAAATTATTAATCACAACAAATTGGGGAAACCCCTCAGAACATAATATTTAGTGAGATAAATATCTAACCAAAGGAAAAAATAGTCATACAAATTGTCTTACAATACCTGAAGGTTCTTCTTTACACTTTGTGAAAATTATGTCTGTTGCTTGATTGGAGCTGTTTTTGTTAAACTGATGAATCTCACTATCATTAACATTATTTTCACTATCACCAGAGCCATATTCATCTATATTTTTTTGCTTCTGTTTGTTTGCCTCTAAATTAATATCCTTGCTCACACAATATTCATCTCTGTGAAAACATGATTTAGTTTTGAAAGGTGGAACAAAGACTTTGGTTGATTTGCCTGTAGTAATTGGGTATTTCATTTTTTCATTTCTTAGAGTAGGAACATTATAAAATGGCTGTCTTGAAACTGGGTAACTGTTTGAAGATTTTTCCAAAGTCAAGTGTTCATAAAGATGAGATTTAGACAGAAGTTCTTGAGCAGGTGCAATAAAATTTAGATTCTGGATTTCTTGACACTTGTTACTTGTGCTACATTGGAGAGAAAATAGATTATTTAGCAGCAAATGTGCACATACAAATGTTTGTGCAAATGAGGACCCTCAAATGCCCCACGGCCATCCTATCCTGGTAATTGTTACACATTCATCATGGTTGCTATCCCAAAACGCCATCATACTTTTCAAGGCTATGACTGTTTTGCACACACTTATTCCCAGCCTTGGACTTTACATGACAGGAAAGCCTGTCAAATGAGGACCTTTTCAATGTGTCCCCTCCACTCTACCACAGTGCTCCTTTCTTATACCCCCTTCACCTGGGGAACTATTTCCCCTATTTCTTCTCTGTGGGTCCTATCAATGGTCCCATCTCTCATGGTCACCTCAGGAGCCTTCCTCTGAATTAGTACCCTACCTTTCTCTCATTTAAGAGAAGCACTAAATAGCTGACCGGAAGATCTGTGTGCTGATAGGGCTCTTGTCAATTGTTGGCTTCACTGGGTGATGCCTCGCAATGTCGTTTCATCTGAGTACTCTCAACTGTCAATACTTTTAGGTCTTTTTTACTAGGCTGATCACATTCATTCCTCACAAAATCTTCCAGTCTCCTGTTAACTTTGTGAGCCAAGTGTGGGAAGAAGGCTAGGGATTCTACTGATTGACATACAGATTTCTACTTCATTTCAGTTTTCACTGTTTTCCTCAGTTGTCCCCTCTTCCCTAAATCACACTCAAATCAGAATTCTAATTCATTTTCTCCATAGAATAAACTTCTAGTCTTCTGAAGAAAAGCAATAAATGCCCATCAGTAGGGGAGGAGATACAGATGCTTCTTAAACAGAATTTCAATTAATCTCTCCATTTTCTACTCTACCATGGGAAGGACATGTTGCTAATTTGAATCTTCCTCAGGTTCTTTAGGGGAAGCTGGGTAGTTCTTTGCTTGCTCTAACGTTAGGTTTTAATTTTCTTAGGCTTGCTATGTCATTCATGTTTTTGGCTTCTACACTCTTGTTTCTTTTGATCAGTGTTCTGAAGAATTCTACGTTAAAAAATTCTATTGGCAATTCCGGTAGGGTTTAGAGAGGGAGGAGAGGGAAAAGAATATTTTTAACATTTGCTGTCTTTTTATTGATTTATTTCCTTAATCCATCTCAACCTTAGTATATCATTCATAAAAGTAGAATATGATCTGTTGTGCTATTTTACAAAGTTGCCTAGAAACTGGAAAGTGAAATAAAAGTATGAACAGTACTATAAAACACTACCAAAACATTAACTTTTTAATCCTGATTCAGGCTTTCAAAAACAGAAGTGTTAACTTCTTTACTATAGATTTGTGCCACTGGTTTCAGAAATATTAATTTTTTAAAAAAATGTAATTTTCCAACATTAGTAGAATTTTAAAATAATTTAAACACATGTTACCAAGAGGGTCCACAGGTAACTGGCTCTAAAGAAATGTGATGTGTAAACAGCTTTCTATCTTTTATTGTACCTAGAAAAAAATAATTTGACATTAATAATGAAAGTCTAATGGGAGATTTTATTTTCTATTTATTACATACATTATTATAAATATTCACACAAAAATCTGAGACAATTATTTTTAAAATTTATGAATAAAAAATAACTATCAAAAGAAACACTTGAGGGCCAGGGATTTAGCTCAGTCTTGCCACCGCCTGCCTTGACAGTGCAAGGTACTGAGTTCGATCTCTGGTACCAAAAAAACCCAAAAACAAAAGCAAAAAAACCCTTGATTCTCAAATTAATAATGACCAGATAGGAAATAACTCATGGTACAAACATGTAAATCAGTTATAAATTTAGTCAGCTGATGATAACAATTACAGCTCAAAGGTGTTGTCAATGGAAACATCAATCTAAAATTTACTCTTATCAAGATTTTAAAAGCCTTAGGTACTATTCATCTTCAGTATATGATTTATACCTATAATTAGTCCAGTGATAGGGGACTGGCTGAATAAATAAGATATACCAATGTATACCACATGATCAAGTACTATGCAACCATAAGAAACAATGAAGATCTCTATGTACTCAAGAAGGGATCCCTAGGTAAAATTTACAAGCAAGGTGTAAAACAGTGTATATATGTTTTGAAGAAAGGACCATGAGAATACATACTTGTATATACATATTTGTTTATTTTACAAATAGGGCCATAAGAAAAAATATATATGTTTATTTTACAAAAAACCCCTAAAAGAATAAACTGGAAACCATTAAAAATTGTGAGCAAGAGGTGGGAAATATGGTGAATAGTATGGAATGATAAGGGTGGAACCAAGACTTCTCTAAGTACATCTCTGTGTAGTGTTTACAAACAAGCTATGGAAAGGTTTTATTTTTTTCAAATGTAAGCGTAAATAAAAAAATAACTCTACAACTGAAAACAAATAGAAACAACTCTATCAAACTGGTAAGCACACACTGAAAAATCATTTTGACATTTAAACACAGCACTTTGACTATATTCTTAAATGATATATATTCTGAGGAAAAACTGCAAAGAATTTTTCATCTTCCCTTAGCAGATTTATCATTAGTAGCTTAAACTGATACTGTGAATCTGAAACTATTTTATGCATATACAGTACTGTGGGACAGTGATTCTCAAAGATATTCTCTATGAAACTGAGGAGTGCCCACAGTCTTTCAGAGAATTCAAGCTGTCAAGCTGTCTTAATACTATTAAGATGTCTTTTTCACTGTGCTGAAAAATATTTGCCCTGATAGTTTATTCTGCTATATCTGCGCAACCACTGTCTCAAGAAAATATACATTCATGAATAAGCTAAATGTATTGTTTTTTTTTTCCTTCACAAAATTACCAACAGCCAACAAACTACATTATTCAGACTTGGGTAATAAGCAGATATTTTTTCAAAATTGAATGAAATGAGTTTATCACTGCAAGGAAAAGAAGTCACAGTATTTTTGCCTGTAGTAAAATTCAAGCTCTTAAGTGAGAAGTTAGAATTTGAGGAAGCTAGTATCCGACTACAAACTTGACAGCTTCTTAATACTTGGACTTTTTAGATTAGATCAGTGATGTCAGTAACAAAGGTGATCAAAATTGTATAATAAATTTTGTCAACTGTTAGAAGACCTGCACAACTCAGTAAACTAACATTTTCTAAATTACCAATGGACAATGTTACAAATATTAAACTTTCTCAACTTTAATTTCTAATATGATAAATATCAACAGATATAATCCACATATACAAATGTTCTTTCAGAATTTTTGAGACTACAAAGAAGTTCTGAGACATATTACAAACAAAAAGCTTCTAAACTACTGCAAAGCAAAAATGGTTTTATTGCGCCGGAATGTAGCTCAGCGGCACAGCACCTGCCTGGCAAGCGTGAGGCCCTGAGATTGATTCCTGGTACCAAAACAAAAAAAAGGTTCTTATTCGGAACTAAAAATGTAAGCAAAACAAATAACACCATCAGAAGTAATAATATGGGTAGCATCCAAATCTTTGTTTTTATAAAATATTAATTACTGAAACGATCTTTGGAGAAAGGGCTGACCCCAGCACTAAGGTAGGGTAACTACAAGAAAGATAAATCGGAGTCATTTATAGGAAAATTGATGTACCTTGAGACCAAAATGTTAAGTAAAATATATCACACACACGCGCTTAAATATCTCATGGTTTCTCTTACATAAGAAACTGAAAATATAAATAAAGAACAAAATAAAAGATACACGATAGGAAGTAGGGAGGTGGATCTTTCTAAAAAGGGAAAGGGACCAAAAGCGGGAGGGTAGGGGAGGGGCAAGGGATGAAGAGAAGGAGCTAAGATGCGTTGCATACATGTGCCAATTCCACACAAGGAATGTAAACATTACGTACTGCAAACATGTGCAAAAGAGGGGGTGAAATTTAGAGATGGATGGATAGGGGAGGGAAAGAAGGGAAAGGGGATGAAAAGAAAGGAATTAAGATATATTACGTACATGTAACAATTCCCAAAAAGGAATGTGAACACTATGAACTACAAAAAATGTTTTAATAAAAAAAAAAAGATTCCACAAAATCTTTTTATCATAATAAAAAGTAAGATGCTCAAAGATTAATCAGGGTACGTTAAAAACAAAAGCAAAAAAATCTTGGGAAGTTAAAGAGGTTTCTACCCCCAAATCTGAGATAATTTGAACATTAAGAAGCATGTTTCCTTTTTCTAAATAAACACATTTACAGTGTAATTGCCTATAAGTTTTATATACCTTATACATAAAAATCCATGAAATTATTTGCTACCATTAACAGTGACAATTATATCAATTTACTCCTTATTCTGAAAAGTTTTAATTAGAATAATTAAGCATTTATCTTGCCTTTTTTTTTTTTTAGAAGGAACTAAAGTTCATTCCCAGTTGCTAACATAAAGCTCTTCCTTGCTGAATAGTAAATTTGTAAAGAGTAAAAGACTGTGAAAACCCTAAGAAACTGAGGCATGAGGATTCCAAGTTCAAGCCCAGCCAGGGCAACTTAGTAAGAAAAGTCTCAAAAGTGAAAACCAGGTTTTCCATCTCCAATTATATAACTGACTCAGGAAAGTGGATGTTAAAATTTTGAGTGAAAGACTATTATATAAACAGCATATTCTCAGCTCCCAGCCCAGAGGAAGGGGCTTCTGGGCCACTGTTCCACCACTGCCAGCACAGAGGAGGTGAACCATGCAGGCGCAAAGAGCACCCCCCACCCACACAGAAATGAGGAGACATGTAAACAAGCCTCAAAACCAGACTTCCAGATTACCTACAGCAACCCCAAAGGGAAAGGAGATGGAACACTCTGATACTCAACCACCTGGACTCCCTGAACTGACAATTAAAGACGATCTGGAAAAAAGGAAATCAGAAATAATTTCTCAGATAACAGCAGAGATTGTGCCCATAGTGCAAGACATGATTAATAAATCGAGAGAGGACCTGAGGAACATGATGGAATCCCAACATAGGAAACAAATGGAATCCATAAAATAGATGCAAACAGATTTCCAGGAGATTAAAAACTCCACTGAAAGTCTACACAGCAGAATGAGCCAATGTGAGGACAGAATTTCACATATAGAAGATAAGATTGCAATTAGTGACCAGGAAAAGAAAAATTGCTTTAAAATTGCAAGGGACCATGAGAAATCAATCCAGCAGCTGCTAGACGATGCAAAGAAGAATAACATAAGAGTGATTGGAGTCAACAAAGAAATAGCAGAGAGTGCAGATGACATAAAAAACAACTGTTCACTGAAGTAATGGTAGAAAACTTCTCAAGCAGGGGAAAAGAACTTGTCATACAGATAAGTGAGGCATATAGGACTCCAACTAGCCTTGATCAAAAAAAATCTACACATAGGCATATAATTGTTAAGATTTCAGGAACCCAACAGAAGAACAAAGTTGTACAAGCAGTTAGAGAAAAGAAACAAATCACATAGAAAGGAAAGTCCACCAGAATCACAGCAGACTTTTCAATGCAAACCCTCAAGGCAAGAAGAGCTTGGAGTGACGTATTCCAAGCCCTAAAGGAAAACAGCCTCCAACCCAGACTGATGTACCCTGCAAAACTATCTAACAGTATATTCTCAAAGTACCAAAGTATCATGTCAGATTGTTTGCTAAATGCAAATGGGAAAATATACCTTTCAATAAAATGATCTTGTAATTAGCATCTTAATCGTGTAGTCAAATCACCTGACATTCTGTGCCTCTCAATATGATGCAATACATGTACAAACCTCTTTGTGGAAGCATTTGTGCCAAAACTGCAGAATCTTAATTAAGTCCAAACAGGAAATAGAGTAAATGACACCCAAAGGAAACAAATCCAGAATGTGTGACAGTCTATAAAATAATTGGCTTGGTCACATTAGAGTTGATAAATAAAATAAAAACTTTAAAAGGTAAGAGAACTATTGTAAATTAGATTATATTAGACATTAAGTGATACCCACATACTATATATGTTTCTTTCTCTCTTGGGGTGTGTGTGTGGTATAATAAAAAATACAGTGAATGGTTTGATTTAAAAAAATGTATTATAATAAAAGACACATTGCCATTAATCCCTCTCAAAATACTCTTTCTCCAGGACTTACTGATGGATTAGATATGAAGTATGAGGAAATAAGAGTTAAAGATATTATTAAGGGGAGGCAGGGATTTAGCTCACTGGCACGTGCCTGCCTCACAAGCGCAAGGTCCTGAGTTCGATCCCTGGTACCAAAAACAAATATTATCAAAGTTTTGATATGATCAAATGGCAGAATGGCGGAGTCCTTTACGAGAAAGCAAAGGCAACAGAGCAAGTTTGGAGCAAGTTTGGAGCAGGTATGGAATAAGGAGTTCATCAATGGCCACATAATTTTAAAATGCATAGTAGCAATCCAAGTAGAGATGTACCAAGCAGGCAAATGAATGAGTCTGGAGTTCAGCTAAGGCTGCAAGCATAATTTTGGTAGTACTGAAGTTTAGGTGGAGAGTAGACCTAAGGACACCTGAAGTGTTCCTGTGTAGAGTAAGGAAACAATAAGGAAGAACTATTAAAAAAAACAAAAACAAACAAAAAACACTACACATAAGCAGTCACTAAGGAAAAGAAGCAAAGAGACCACGGAGGGCTGGAGAAGTGATCAAAACTATGTCTCATGTGTTTGGAAGATGGAGGCAAATAAGAACTGAGAAATGACCATTGGGTTTGGCAACAGAGAGATAGTTCCATAACTTAGAAAAGACTGTGAAATGGTGATGGCCAAAAGCCTGACTGAAGTCTAGAACCCAAGCTTTAAATTATCATGCTACAATAGTTTTAGCTTAATTCTTAAGAGCTTTTTTAAAAATTAAAGTCATTATCTTATAATCATTTTAAACTTTCCAATTATGGGCAACCTCACCATCAAACTTGGTATTATGAAGGAAAATTCCACCTAACAACCAAGTCAAGATATAGTAAGTTACAATTAAACTATACTATAAAAACTTTTATACCAAAAAAAAAGATATATACCAAAAAGAACTGAGAAAAAAAGCACATAATGCATCATACCTAGAAGGGAAATATTCATAAAAAGAAAATTTTACCATCAGGAGTGCTTTTCGAAGCTTTTAAGGATTTTCCTTCATTTTCTATTATCCTGTCAAATTCATTTAACAAGCTTCTTTTAATTTGAGATTCTCCTAAAAAGAAATTTCCGTAAATATTTGTAAATTATATTAATTTCATTTTTAAAACCTTACAGTCCATTTAAAAAAATTAAAATACTGACTTTTACAACATGTTAAATAAAAATATATAATTATAAAAATTGAGTATTCCTTTTAAAAGAGAAAATTCATTTCTCAGTAACAATTTAATTTCTACCACTTTTTGATCATTTAAAGACAAGCTACTTTTTAAATAGAGTGGCACTGAGTATAATTCTAAGTCTTGGGCTGGGGATTTAACTCAGTGGCATAGCACCTGCCTGGCAAATGTTGAGGTCCTGAGTTCGATCCCCAGTACCAAAAAGAAAACAAATCAAGACCAGTCCAATAGAGCACCCATATAGTCTGTATCCACAAACTCCATAATTCTAAGTCTTGACAAGAAGGATAAACAACATTTCTTCAAACTGATCTTTTTCTGGGTTGACAGCAAACTCAAGGATGAATTTATTATATAGGTCCATGAGTTAGGATCAGTAGGGTAGAGAATATTTTCAAAATTACTAAATCATATTCAAATATTAATAATAGTCATAATTTTATCCCCCCCCCCTTTTTGGAGGTCCTGGTGATTGAATCTCAGGCCTCATGCATGCTAAGTAGTTGCTCTACCACTAGCTATATCCCCAGACACTAATAATTGTAACACTCCTTATTTAAAAATTCTAACCTGGGGATATAACTCAGTGGTAGAAGGCTTGCAGAGGCTAAGATAAAACCCTAACTCAAGTGCTTGCTTCAGCAGCACACATAATAAAAGCATAACTCAAGGTATGCATTTGTGTCATGCTGAGATACATGGTAATAAGTACTCTGATTTTTTGACAGTTTATTACAAAGAATTAATTTGTAGGATTTAATAAGTCGAAATGTCCATGCAAGCCCTTATCAGGGCATTAGAAGCCTTTTTCAGGGGTTTAATTGTTCAAAAAAGAACATGCACTATTCAAATAACCAAAAGCTGATAAAGGTATATATTTATATATACCAGAAGTGAAATTACATAGTAACATTGTTGAGAATATTCAGAAGTCTGAGTTGTTTTTGTTCTAGATAGAAGGCAACTTCAGTATACACATGGAACAGAATGGATTGCTATAAATAAAGCTATTATGGATATCTTTTAAGTACATACACTTCTGAACTTTCTGCTAAAGGACATCAAATAGTTTCAGGTAATTATTATAAACTTACTACTTGCCCATGAAATAAACCATACAGAATGTAACCTGGATAACATGTATGTAAATCTGAATCCAGTAGCATGACCTAATGAACTAACTGGTTTCAGCTACCTTTTCTGCAATATGAGAGGGCTGGACAAGATTTTTGATATCTGAAATATTTTATGAGTCTATAGGTGTCTAAAAGTAGCTAGTTATTTAAGATCATCTAAGTAAGAGTTGGAGACTGAGTTTTGGCATTTACTTTAAATGTAACTAATCAACAGATTCAGTAATTTAAGATTATAGTCAGAGACTACCAGAAAACACCCCCACACTTAAGATCCTCAAAACACGACTTTTTGGTACACAAACTTAAGAGATATCAAGAATCAAATCACATTCTCTCAAACTACATGTAAAACCCTAAAAAACTTATAACACTCTAATCACTACATCAGGACTATTGTGACTGAACACTTTTAAAACAGATTGGAAAACCAAAAAGTAAAAAAAAAAACACTTACCAGCTGAAACAAGGGCATCTCTTCTCCTTTTTCCAGTTCTTGAATTTAACAAAATCCTTTCATTTTTTTGGCATGTACGAAGTGAGTGTTTGGGATGACTTGGTGGTTCACAATCAGTCAGCTCATCATCTTCCATAAAAGCTTTAGCAATCTCTACTGCTTCTGTTTCAAAATAGTTTTCTGGTTCTTTGGGGCAAGGAGAACGTATTTCTGCCCTTGTTTGCACAGAATTATTAGGAAAAGTTTCAGTTTTACCAATTTCCATTATATTTTTGGGTAAAGCCTGTTCTTCCCCCAAAAGATGCGTGTTCTCAAAAAGTGATGCTTTGGATCCTAATATCAAGTGTCGTTTGTCTTGCTTAAACCGAGAGCGATATGGAGAAACTTTAATAGAGTGATTACTTTCTGATGAACCAATTTCAGTTTTACAGTTACTCGATAATTTAAATTCATTATTGTAGGTTTTTTTCATTTTAGAATCTATAGAGTGTTCCAGGGTTCTTTTATCAATACAAAGTGGAATTTTCGATACATCTAGTCTAGATGAAGGTGAATGCTCAAGAGTATATTCATTTATTAAATCAAATTCCTTTAACATTCCCTTAACTTTGTGTAAGGCACTTTCTGAAATTGAAACCTGTTTTCCACTTGCTGTGCTAAATCCAGAAAAAGCAGATGAATCTGCAGTATGCTGAAAGTTTTTTGGCGGTGATACTTTTTTGGGGGTATGCATTATAGTACATTCTTTTGTGAAATGGTCTGAATGTTCATTATTTTTAAATACTTTGGAAAAGAGTTGCTTTGTACTACCATCTGTTTTAGAAAACACCTGTCTTGCCTTTTGTAATGAAGCATCTGATATTTCTACAGATTTTCCCCTTGCTGTACTAAAAATCCCATAAACATTTGTAGAAGAGGCTGACTTGGGAACCTTCCCTGTATTATTAAATTTACATATATCTGAAGCTTTCAAGCTAACACAAGCTGGTCTTTCAGAAACTTTCTCCAATTCAGACATACTTTTGTTATGTTGCAAACTTCCTTCATTTTGAGTACCAGCAAAAACCTTACATGAATGTGTACATTCTTCCTCATCTAGAGAGTTAGGAAAAATAACATCCTCTGAATTATCCAATGCCTTATTATAAGCTGTCACAGTTTTTCTTTGGGAAGTGTTTGATTTACTCTCAGTGCTTTGGTTAATTTCCTTATTGTTATTCTCAGTGTTTTGGTGAATTATCTTCTTAGAGTTTTCCGTAAATATCTTTTTTACTTTTTTAATCGAGTCTTGTGAAATAAGGACTATTTTACCACTGGCTGTACTGAATGCCGGTGGCCTTACCTCAATATTATCTGAATCAGATACAGCCAAGTTAATGGTTGTATTTTTATTTTTGCATGGTGAAAAGTTAGTCACAGGTTTCTGAACACAAATATCTTCACTTACGGCTTGTGGATATGTGTTTACTTCTTTTATACTGGGAACTTCTGGAAAACCAGTGTTATTTTTATCTTTGACATTCATGACTGACTCAATACCAGAATCAATTTTATTTTTTGAGAGATATCCTGAATCATCATGCATATTATCAGAATGACAAACATCAGAATGGTAGCTATCAGATATGCTACTGTTACTCAAATGAATTAAATCTTGTTTTTCAGAGAGATAAATTTTGTCATTTTCAGTTGTGATACTGCTTGAACTAATTTTATTCAAAGGATTTCCTACACAATCCTGAGAATATTCTTTTACACATACTACCTCAGCAGTATTTATTTCTTCTTGCTGCTCATCCAATTCTCCTTTAAGCCACTTTGTCACTTTAAACAGTAAAGCTGGATTCACAGAAATTTTTTTACCATGTCCTGTGAAAAATCCTAAAGATTCTTCAATAGTTGAAAAAGGAAACTGATTTGTGCAAGTTGTAGGGCTGTTCACTGTTTCTTTTTCTACATTTCCATGTACTTTAACTTCCAAAGAGATACTATTTGATGTTTTGAGATTTTCAGTTTGTCTTTGTAAGCTATTAGTTAGGCTGGGTAGCATACCAGTTTCACTAAAGTTTTTATTATTTAGGGAATTCTGCGTTTCTTCACGCTTTGGGATAGAGGTTATTTCAGTTGTTTCACATACTAATTCAAGCCCTTCTTTACAGTCCTCTCTGTCTTTGACATTCTTTGCTGCTTTGTGACTCAATTTGGTAATTTTACTAACATCTTCCTGTTTTTCATCAAAAAGATTTTTCACTTTGTCCAAAGATTCTTGTGCAATTCTTACTTTTTTCCCACTAGCTGTACGAAAACCCAACAGGTTAGGTTCTTTGATATTTTCTATTTGACATTCAGGTTGTTGCAGGAGACTTAACTGAGTTCCAGTACCAGCCGGGGTACTTTCTTCCAATATTTTGTTTTTCATCGTGTTTGTTTCCCCATTACTTGAAATGTCCATTTTGTTCTCTATGCCAGAAAGTAATTTAGAATTCAGAGAATCTGAAAAGTCATTCCATTCTTCTGTTTTCTGATCAAAGAAATTTACAACTTTACTTAATGACTCTTTGGTGACTCTGATATTTTTCCCACTTGCAGTCTGAAAGAGTGTATTTAAATTGTTTGTATTTTGTTCCATCTCACCTGCAGTTAACTGTTCTTTAGTTGAACTAATATAACTTGTTTCTTCAGCCTTCACAACTTCCAGACAAGTTAAATCTGACAAACTTTCTTTAAGTTGTGTGCTTCCATCACTCATAAACTGGCTAGATAATTTAAAATGTATATTGTGCTGATTGTTACATGGCAAATTATCTCTATGAATATAAACTGTATCATTTTTACTTGAATTGCTGCCACCCGATTTTCCTAATTTACAAATATTTCTACTGGCACCAATATATTTGTTATCTTTATTTTCTGCATTTCTCGTGCAACTTTCAGGATTTTCTTCAACAAAAATGCCAGTAGTCATGTCAATATTATTTTGTAATACTAGTTGGCAATTATTGTTTTTCTTATTTATATTTTTATCATTGTTATGATTTTCTATCTTAAACATTGAGACAATAGAATCATAACATTTACTTGAAGAGAAACTTGGATCTACTTCTGGAGAAGTCTCTTCACTAATATTCTCAATGTCACTGAACAGTTTTAAGGCTTTCTGTAGGGCTTCACTAGAAATATTCAGTTTTGTGCCAAGACCAGAATAAAAACCTCTAAATTCCACTTTACTTTCATCTGTCAAAGAACCAGCAGCACTTTTGTTAGGACTGTTTTTCAATAAGTAAGCAAACTTTTGTTTAACTCCAATTCCTCCAACATTTTTGATGCTGTCTATCTGATCAATAGATGAGGCACCAAATGTGGGATGAAGATCAACATCTTTCCATTCCTCAGAAGTGGTACTTAAGGCAGTCATCTGGTTTCTAGGCACTTCAAGTGTATTACTTTGTATTAAGTGGCTTGCTTTTCTGAACTGTGTAAATTCAAACTGACTTCCTGATTCTTCTAATATAGTAGAAAGTTCTGTAACTTCTGCCTTTTGGCTAGGTGTTAAATTATGGTTTGAATTAAAATCTTGTTTTAATGGTAACATCTGGGAGGTTGTGTGGTTATTTTCACAATCAGAAACAGACGGACTACTCTGCACGCATGTAGGCACTGTTTCAACTGATTGCAAATCAAATATATGAGGTTTGTTTAATTTCTTTTGGTTATTTAATAAGGTATTTACAATTTCAACAGAAGCTGAACTAGTAGGATACTGTTCTTCAATATCTTTGAAAAGCATTTTGCTTTTCTTAATATTATGTTCAGAGACTTTTATTTCTTTATTGGAAGCTGTTCTGAAGCTACCTCCAAAACTGTGACTCGAACCTGGATGTAAGATCCCTGCCCATTTGTGTGTGTAATCATTATTCCTGTTTGGTTTCATATCCAAGGAGATGTCTGATTTCTGATTTTCAAGTCCTGAAGTTAGATGCTGCTTTACGCTATTTCTGTTCTCTTTGAGATCATGGATTGTATTTGATGGGTCAAAATCTTCAGTAATCAGCACCTGGATTGCTTGTTTGTCATCTATGTCTGTATCTACTACCATAGCAGAGTTCTGGAGAATGGATTCTTTTATAAAACTAAAATCTGATCCACAAATTTCCTTAGTCTTTCCTAAAACAGGACTATTCCTTTTATCAGGTATTTGAAAGACAAAATTATTCTCACTGCCTGCGAAAAGTTCTTCAGAGTTTGGATTGGCAGTCATTTCTGAAATTAAAGAAGTTTCTTTTTGATCTTTTTGGATCACTGTTAGACTTGTATCATGGTTGAGTGGCATCTTCAGTGAAGGCGATGCTGCTGTTATGCATTTTTCAAGTGACAACTGCTCAACTTTTTTAGAATTTCCATTTAAAACATATATTTTTTGATTTTTTTCAATGGAAATATTTTTGGCTAATTCAATACCAGTTTCACAATTCTTACATTTTAGTTTCTCTGACATTTTGTGTGATTCTTTTTCTTTAGAGATCATAACTGGATTTGAAGGATTCTTGGAGCTAGGAGATAATATAAGAGGGCTAGTATTATCATGGCCATCAAAAAAGCTTTTCTGTGACTGAAGTGGAATACCACTATATTCTACTTCTGAATGCTGAACTTCAGGCTGATATGCTGCAACTAAGACATTTTCTTCTATATTTGAAACTTTCTGGCTTTTTGAATCTACTCCATACTGTCTTTTCTGTAGGCACGACAGAAAATCCGTTTCTGGGGGTATAAATAACTGCAGTTTTTCTTCATGAAGTTTTGCTTCTTTGTAATTAAGATCTTGAGATATTATTGTAATAGCATAATTACTTTCATTATTGGAACATTTTCTCAGATTTGCCCCAGAAGAGTTGGTTGAAAAGGTTGACTCTTCAGCATCATTCTGTAAACAGTTTCGTTTGACAAAAGAATGCAATAAACCTAAAGAACATAAAGTGACAAAATAAAATTAAAACTCCATCACATTCATTAAATATTCTACTAGGTTTAAAAGAGTAGTGTTTAAAACAATTACATGAAAAACAAAAAGCAAGTGTCAGATTTAAAACAGTTCTACGTATTATCTATTATGAAGGTATTACATTTTCTAGCCAAACATAAAGAAGGCTTCGGGATTTTTTTCAAAATAACATATCAACACAATCAAAATTACTATCTAAGTAAACGGCTAGCTGCCATAAATAAAACTCAAATTTCCAAAAAATTCATAATTTTTATTGGCAAATTAAATGGGAAAAAATTCATTGCCAGTACGGTAGGAGACAGAAAAGGTAGGGGAATGAGAAAACTAACAATTTCCCGTAGTTAATTTTTTTGTATTGAAAAAACAATGAAAAGAAAACAGAGTCTATGGAAGAAGACCTTGAAAGATGACCTAATGTCAGTTATAAAGGCAAATGAGCTAAATTACTATTAATGTTCTTTATCCTTTCAATTTCCTATTAAGTCAAAGTTCTTAATCTCATTTCATTTAACCAGTGATTACTACAATATACTGCTTCATTAGCTTTAATACTGATATATATATATACACATACATATATACAGAATCAGACATTATTCTCTAGAAATTTAACTCAAACATCAAACAATTCCTCTGTACTCCAGTACCACCAATCCTATTCACCTCCATTACAACCTATTGACATTTTCTTGTAAAGAGATAAATTCACCTTTATTTCTTTTGAGATGAAGTTTTATGCTGCCCAAGCTGTACTTAAACTCCTAGGCTCAAGCAATCCTATCTCCCAAGTAGCTGTGACTACAAGTGAGTAGTCAGGGTTTAAAAACACTTTGTAAACATACGGTTTAGTTATTGTTAAGTGAATTGTTGCCAAGACAAAAAAATGACTTTCACTGTTTATACTCTGGAGACTCAGAGACATAGCAATAACTAAGTAATCTCTAAATATCTAAGAAAACTATATAACAACAGTAAAAGTCCTTATTTTAGGACTGCCTTACATTAAATTTAATTAGCAATTAGCTTTTTCTTTTTTGCATGCTTTAGAGAAAATATATAGCAAATAGCACCACATATATGGAGCTGCTTAATTTGCATCTAATAAGCACTTTTAAAATTAAAGCAGGAATTTAGTAGCCAGACTCCTAATGTTTGTAAGTCAGACTCTGTCTTAGCAGTGATGAAGCCAGGCATAATGGCACACACTTGTAGGACCAGCTACTTAGGAGGCTGATACAAAATGATCACTGGAGCACATGCAGCAAGACTGTTTCAAAAACGAAAGATGTGCAAAGTGATGTAAGTTTGATTCTGAATATAAAAGATTACAAAAAAACCTACAGAAGTATCCAGTATATTTTTTTAAAAGGTTAAAGAAATTCACATAATCATTTAAGAGAACTTAACCACCATTCATAAAACTATTATGCACAAATTGACCAAAAAAACCACAAAACCCCACACACAAGAAATGGTACCTGCATCAGCATTTGCAAATGTAAGTGATGCTTCAAAACCATCTGCTTGAAACTGGGCTGAATTGTTGGTTAGTGCTCTTGTTTGTTCTTTCTGCATTCCCTTTCTTTGACAGGATGCTTCATCATTTATAGCATAAATAAACTTTTTTTTTTTCTTTTTCAAAGTGGATATTAAACCTCTATTCTTTAAAGTCCCAGAAGAAGGCATGATAGTGGCTGGCAAGGTTCCATTATCAACTGAACTCAGACATAAAGAATCCTCTCTGTGTGAGTAAACAGTATGTATTTCCAACCCACTTTTAGAGGCTTTAGTTTCTTCTTTAAAGTTTGGGTTGATCACATTATCTGAGAAGAGTGTACAAAAAGTCTCTTCAGATGGTTCTCTTATCTTGAATATAGACCTTTTGATACCTTGAAATACAGGAGATACTGGAGAAGTCCCAGATATTGCCTCTTTCACTGCAAGAATGGAGTCTTTATGAGATTCAAAATGTTCCGCTTCATCTCTCTCATCTACAGATTTTCCCTCATTTGATATCTTTTCTGGTAGACTAGAAATATGTGGCAAAGAATTTTCTGAAGGAGTATGGTTTCCACCTTCTTTTTCACTATCTATTAAGTATTTTTTAGAATACTTTTGGTCACAAGAAGAAATAGGCAGTAGAGGTATTTTCATCTGGGTTGCATTTAGACCTGAGAGTGTTAGCTGAGACCATTGAGAGCCTGAAGATGGTATGGCTTCCTTGGAGATTCTGTCACTTTCACTGCCAAAAGGCTTCTGACTTGGTACATTTGTATCTAAAGGATCACTATCTTTTGGTTCCATTTCAGATGCAAATGAATGTTTTTTTTCTTTCATTTGTTTTTTAGTTTCTTCTTTGAAGTCATCTGTTCTTATTTCATGGAAAATTTTTTTCCTAGTTTTGCTCATTCTTTTTTTTTGTAGATTTCCTGTTCTATGCTTCAAAAAAGATAGTGAAAAACTATCTTCTTCAGAAATGTCTGTAAGTGTTTCATGTACTTCATCTTCTAGGGCATTTGGCATTAACTTTACAAAGTGATCTTTGCAGCAACCTACTTTTCCAAATGAATTCCCTACCATTTTCCCCAATCCTGTTAAAATTTAAAAGAGGCACTTTAATGATTTTATAATACAGCTATAATTTATATTTTTCTTGCCTTAAGACATAGTATATATTAAATAGCACATAATTTAGCATTTAAATAGTTATTCTGAGTGCTTCCCCCCCCACAAGTCACCTTTCCCTATTCTTCTGGAAAAGCCCGATACCAACACATCCAAAGCCTTTTATTCATAGTCCAATCCCTAATAATCTTCCTTTACCAGCTCTAAATAATCAAACCTCACATGTTAAATTACTATACATTCAATTTAATATTTAAGACTTATCAAACCAGATGTTACAATTTTGTGGTGCTACAACTGAGAATAAAATCTCATTGTACATATGTGTATAAATATATATACATTCTCCCAACACGATACCACACACAAACACAGCCAATCCTACACATTTATATAGACATACACATACTAAGAAAAATGTAATTATTTCAATGACCTGACTGTAACCTGTAGTATATATCTACAACTATGTTTACTTTCTAATTAGAAAAAAAGACTTCATAAGTTGTTCAACATGTCTTATTATCTGCAAAATAAGTGACAGGTTTTATTTTTGTGATACAACATGTTGAGTAATACTGTCTTAGTATGACGTTTAAATATTGTCATCTAAATCAAATTAGTTGCTACCTTCAATATCTTGACTTTAACAGCCAAGACAGGAGATACAATATATTTTCTCTATAAAAGAAAGAGAATCAGTGACACTAGTTAAAAACAGCAGTTCACAGGAGGACCTCTTAACTCAGCTGGCGAGTACTTGCCTAACATATGCAAGGCCTTTGGTTGGACCCACAGAACTGCAGCCCCCGGCCCCCCAACAGAAGTTCAATTAAACAGAAAGACTTACCATGATGGTTAACTTCTCTTTGATTTTTGTTTTCATTGTCCATCACAGAAGGGATAAATTTATCATTGTTTTTCAGATTTTCATCATGGTTAGACAAAGAGCGCTTCAAAATCTGTAAACATTTTTTAACGTCAGTAGTATAAACACTTTCAATGTACATATATATGCAAGTTACTTTTAAGCATTGAGATAGCAGAGTTTTGCAGAATGTCAAAGAAATTACTTAAAGGATCAGGTTTAGAAACTTTCTCAAAGCTTAGGTAAATTATAAATTAGAGAATGAAAATGAAGGACATATGATTTATCAAAGCATTTTTTTTCATCTTTTACTTGCTATGTAGTCCAAGTTTGCCTTGGAGAGATTTTGGAGCCCAGGCTGGCCTCAAACTCAAGGCATTCTTATAAATATAAGGAATTTCAATTTTAACAGTATGATCAATTTAACATATTTACTTACAGCAGTGGTATTGTTAGGAAATATAGTTTCAGATGCTTCCTCATCTCTGACTGTAAAATAAAGAATTAATTTACTTGTACTGTATTATTTATCATACACTAAAATTTTATTTTTAGTCAGAAACCACAATGTACCTACACTACTTGATTAAATGATACATTTGAAATAAAGTCAATTGGCCAAAGTACAGTAACTGGAAAGGTCAATGAACAGGCCATACTTATTTTCCTTCATAACACTCATGAGGTACGAAATTATGGGTTGGTGATCCCAGCTTTATGATAATACTGTTAAATGACCTGGAAAATCAGATGAAGCTGTGAGTTAGGGATTTCAAAAGCTAAAGTTTTGAGACTTGAGCATTTATTTAGACAATAATACAGCTTAAGAGTATGTTAAATATTTCTTAGTTTTCATGTAAGCAACAAAAAAGAAAGTTAAGTCACTCACAGCTAAAGAGAAATCAAATTGGAATGTTTATTTTGCTAGAATAACCACCCCCCCTCAAATCCTGATTTGAGTATAAACTCATCCTTTCAGTACATTCTACAATAATAAATACATGTTTTACGACTCTGTGCTGGCATACATACATACATATATACACACCAAAGTTACAGTTTTATAAAGCAAATTTTACCATGTGTAAGAAAGCTGGGTAAAGTATATCACATTAAACTTGAATTCACATTAACAATAAATAACTTTTGGGTGTGTATGTGAAATAACACACTAAAAATTATTCACTGTTTCCCTGAAATTTAAATTTGTCCAGACATATGTACTATATTTTCACTTGGTACTCTGACAACCTTAACAACATTCTAATTTTTCTAATTAGAAAGCACTGCAATTTTTCTATTCTTTATACTTCATTAAAAAAAAGAAAAACTGTGGATTCAAAATTTATTTCTAAACTAAGTATTTTTCTACAATTTGAAAAACTGATCTCAGTATCTTCTAAAAATAGAGCAATGTCATTGGTATCTATTTTTTTCTCTATTGTCCAATTTTTCATGTCTTGCCTATAAATTGAGATATATTTATTTAGATGAACTTCCAGATTCTTGTTCACACTGTATTTAATTACATTTATAGACATTTCTTTTTTTTTGGTACCAGGGATCGAACTTGGGTCCTTGCGCTTGCACAGCAGGCAGCGAAACCACTGAGCTAAATCCCCAGCCCTATAGACATTTCTTTAGATTTACATGTTTACTTAATATTATAAAAAAAAAATCATCATAGCCTCTCAATATTAAGTCATGATTAGTCAAATCACAGCTACTCAGAGATTTTTAAGTTGCTTTATAATACTTCTAGATTAGTAAATTAATGAAATTACTACCTATTTATTCAACATTCTAAACAGTACTAGAGAAACACTTAAAATACGTTCTTTTGCTTAAAGATTTGTTGAATACCAATTATGTGTCAAGAAACTCTAGTGAGCCTTCACAGAGGTAAGTAGAGTTCAACAGGTGGACAAATTAAATATTTCAGATAATCACACAGACTATAATTACGGTTGTGAAATTTAAGACCTCAATTGAGTACTACTGGCAATACAGACCTGCAGATCAGATTTAAGCAGAGAAGCAGTTTATTTAATGCTATTTTAATGCCCAAAGTATCAAAATTACTTGTAAAAAATTCGTAGGTACACCAAATATTAGCTCTTAAGTGCTTAATATAAAGCTATTATAGATTAAGGATACATTGCTAAAAAGTAATGCTCAACTCTTTTACAAAATACCACTTAATGTATTTGTGATTTATTCTACTTTACATTAAATGGAATAAAATTATTCTGAACTACCAAAACACTTATCAAAGACAATATTATTTAATATTTTCTTTTCACGTTTTAACAAAAGCATTAGAGATGACAGCTGATTAGCCTCATCTACCTTTTCTTATACAGGTCACATTTGCTATTATTACCTATGAGCACAGTAGAACTGAGAGTCGGTGGCGTAGCTAAAGAACTTGACCAAGACATATCAGGATCCACCTCAGCTCCTAGACTTTCAGAAATATGTTTTGGTGTCTGACCCTAGAAAGAAATGCAATACTTTATTTCTCAGATACACAGTGATGATAAAGAGTATTTTTTCATTTTTCATTTACTGAATGCCTATATACAGATCTGTACATCTCACGCCAAGGTATATCATTGCCAAATTCTTAAATAAGACATCACAACAATAAACCAAACAAAGTATTTACCTTTATAAGCTGGGGTGTGTGACATAAACTTCCACATATTACTGGAGGAGAAAAAAAGAGAAAGTATTAAATTTTACTTTTATTAATATTTCAATGATTCTAAAAATAAAAAACCTTGTTTTTAATCATACCTGGCTTTTCTCTTCGTGGTGTTACCCGTGTACACTGTAGAACGAGAGGACTAAAACAAGACAAATTTCTCAGCTTATTAAAAAAATAACAAATGGTAAAAGAAAATAAAACCACTAGTTAATCTTTTTATTTTCTTTTTGGTACCAGAGATTGAACTCAGGAACTTGTCCTTGACAGGCATGAGCTGTGCCGCTGACCTAAATCCCTGGCCCAAGTTAATCTTATTTTCAAAAAGGCTCAATCATACTTAATGACAGAATTACAGCGCTTTTAAATATTTTTATGTTGCTTTCTCAAAAAGCAAATCTCCTGAAGAATTAAGTAGGCCACTAGGTGATGTTTAAAACATCCACTGAAAGCAATAGTACTCAAAATTTCAGCTACCAGAACCTGTGTATTTTGAATTGAAAAATTATGTAACATAAATCAGTAACAGCATCATATCCCCTCCAAAGATTCAAAGTACACAAAATATTTATTTTAAACTGATATTTCAGGGAACTTTAGCTTTACCATTAATAGCCTTGTGGGCCGGGGATTTAGCTCAATGGTTCCACCACATGCCTCACAAGTGCAAAGTACTGAGTTGGATCCCCAGTACAAAATAAATAAATAAATAAATAAAAATAACCGACAGATGAGGAAAAAAGATATTGAACTCTTTTGTCTGCTTAGAGACTATGTCATAATCTCTTTGTTGGTGTGTTCCTGCCATTAATAGCCTTGTTATTTAGAAAGCCACAGAATATATAGAAAACTAGACAATTCAACATTACAAGAAACACAAAGCAAATATTTCTAACAAAAAAATTATTCAATTAAAGGACTTAGGGTGGGGATTTAGCTCAGTGGTTCCAGCGCCTGCCTCGCAAGCGCAAGGTCCCGAGTTCGATTCCCGGAAGCAAAAAAAAAAAAAGACAACTTGGACCAATTAAAGGACTTAATCTGAAAGACTATTTAAAGATAAAAGATTCTCCACCAGGCACTCAGTCAAAACTATTAAGATAAAAATTAGATTCATTTCCACGAAACAAATATATGTAGGAAAATGTTTCATTTCAACTTTTTTTTCCAGTCCTAGGGATTAAACACAGGGCTTTCACATGGAGCTACATCCCCAGCCTTTTTTACTTTTATTTTTGAGACATGGTCTCACTCAGTTGCACTAAATTGCCCAGGATGGGCTCCAACTTGCAATTCTTTTCTCAGCTCCCGGAGTGCTGGGATTACACATGTGTGTCACCATGATCTGCTTCATTTCAATATTTTAGTATGATAGCTTCACCGTACCTTTCACTGAAACAAGAATTTAGAGGTGGACTGGCAACATCTTTTGCTTGGTCCACTTTAGCCTTCACTGTGCGATGATTTTTAAGTTCACTATTGGCAATATCCTTTCCTGAAACAGTATAATAATTCTGTAATGATTAAACAATCTTAATTTTGAAATTTTGTACTTGAAAACAAAAAGTCTCATCTACACTAGGAAGAATATATAGGGAGTTATTCCTCCCTCTGCCCCAAAGGGATGCCCTTCCAGTCAAGCATATCAAGCATATAATATTCATGACCCCTTGGGTAATACTCCAATGCAAGATATAGCTTTAACCTCAAAGAATTCATAATCTAATATGATACATTTTTAAAAAATATTCACAAGTAGAACATGAAACATCCTCCTATTAAGTTACAGACAGTACTATGGTATCAGAGAGTATCATGAAGGATAAGAGTAATGGAAATGACATTATCTGAAAACCTACCAAGGTATTGAATCTGACCATATCACTTTGCTGCTAAAAAAAGTCTGTTGAGATCCTGTTTTCAAGATCAAGTTCATGGGCTAAGAATGTAGCTCAGCGGTGTAGTGCCTGCCTGGCAAACATGAGGCCCTGAGTTCGATTCCCAGTATTAAAAAATATTACAAGATCAGGGCCAGGGATTTATCTCAGTGGTTCTGCCACCTGCCTCGCAAGCGCAAGGTCCCGAGTTCGATCCCCCGTACAAAAAAAAATTAGAAGATCAAGTTCAAACACTGTAATGAAACTGTGCAGTAATAAGGCCTTTGATCTGATGAGGTTTTTGTTTAATGCCAGGAATTGAACCCAGGGCCTTGCACATGTTTAGTACGTACTTTACCACCAAGCTATACATATTCTAACCCAGTTTGATTTCTTCCTTTTTATGATGCCGTTCTTTCACATTCTGCTGTTCAGCTCTACTGAACCCTGCACATCCTGGAAAAATGCTCTCTTTAACCTACAGGACTCTGTACAAGATATTTCTTTTTTGCTCGTTTTGTCTTGACCTAGACCATCCTTTTTAAGGCTTGCATTTAGAAACTACCTCCTACAGAAACATTTAGTATACCCTATTATGGTGAGTATAGGGGCCAGACCTTTTCCTGTGTTTCCTGAAGAGTTTATCATAAAATGTTCCTGTTTCCTCCACTGTTCTGTGAGCTCCTTGTGACATAGATTATGTCCTAACACTGAATGCTAGCAAAACTAATGCCTGATATATTATGGTCACTCTACATGTATTGCCTAAATCAGGTAGCTAGCTGTAATTAGAGAGAGTTATAGATAGCAGTATGTTTCTATTCTCATTAAACACTTTTACTCTCTAAGACAATAACAGAGTTTCTAAAGTTGTAGGTAGCTCTATCAGTATCAAGTCCTGTTTGTAGTTTTTTAATATTCCTGTGTTCCGAACCATAATGTACTCTATTTGACTCTCCAGGGTAAAAAGTACTCAAGTGGATCAACTGGCTGGTAGTGCCTACGATTTTGGCACTGAAGGCATTTATAATTCTTGGAAAAAAAGTGCTTTTAATAATAGTTGCTTTAAGCCTGGCCAGGTGGAACAGGCCTGCAAGCTGAAGCAGGAGAACCACAGATTCAAGTCCAGCATGGGTGATTTTAGTATCTTAGCAAGACCACGTCTCAAAAAAAAAAAAAAAAATGCTGGGGATATAGCTCACTGTGAAGGCCCTGAGTTCAATCTCCAATACTGAAAAAATAAAATTGCTTTAACTTTTCCTACAATCTCTAATTTAAAGAATATTTGGGAAAATAAGCTGTATCACTTATTTATATAATAAATAATTCATGTTATTTTAAAAAGTAAGTATTGTTAGCCAGGCATGGTGGTACATGAATTTCAGCATTGAGGGAGACTAAGGCAGGGGGATCATAAGGTTAAGTCTAGCCTAGGCAATTGATACCTTATCTCAAAAAATAAAAAGGGCTGTGGACATAGTTCAGTGCACAGGTTCTGGGTTCAATTCCCAGTACCACACACACACACAAATATATATATACACGCACATACACATACATATATATGGTATGTAATATACATTACATGTTACAACTGAATAAAGTTTAAAAAACAGTGTTAAGTCTATTGGTTGTACCTTTCAGTAATGAATTTAAAATAAAAGCAAAATGTGTCAAGCAATTATTAATGCATTATAAACTTTAAAAAATTAACTCCTTTGCACTGAGTTCAAAGTGACTTACTAACACATTCCTATCCTTCCCTGGTTGGACAGGCCAATTCCAACAGGTTACAATAAATAATTAACCACTGATTAACATAGTAGATTCAACAAAAAAATTTATTGAGCTTTTCCTTACCACACATCACTTTGTACATGCTTTTAACATATACATGCTTTTAACGTATTATGCCAGCATGTCTATTTTTCTCTCTTAAAAGACTGATTACCTACAAGTGAAATAATGTCTCATTCATGTTTCTATTGTTAATACCTAGCAAGCCACCAGGCATAGGCAAGCATTGAATATTTGTTGAATGGATGATTTCCTTTTTTGTCTTCTTCTGTATTACATCTGCTAAATATTCCTTAAAGGTCTATCTTATACCTCTTCATAATTTTCGCACTATATAGGATAACTTTATCACTTTCCAAACAAATAGTTTATTTCTACAATTTCTCCTGATTGTATTCTTTCCCTAGTTTTAACCTTGTACTCCCCAAAACCTGCTGAATACCTTCACCTTAACAACCTACTATTATCTCAAACTATAGTGAGAAATTCAAGATTTTTTTCAACCTTTTCCTTTTCAAACCTGCTTTTCCTCTGGTTTCTAAGTGTTTCCCATTTCTATGGCTGTCATTACTGTATTTCAATTTATGCTGTACCCTGTCATTTGTTCTTTTTTGTCCCTCCATGTCTAGACTACTACAGGATCTTATAGTTTCCACCTTCCATATCTATTTTCACTACTATTATAGTAGCCACCCCTTATTCTTGGGGGATATATTCCAAGATTCTTGGTGGATGCCTGAACCTTACTCTACTATGTTTTTTCCTATACACCTAGGATAAAGTAGGCACAGTAAGAAATTAACATTTTAACAAAATAGAACAATTACAAGATGCTGTAATGAAACTTATGTGAATGTGGGCTCTCCCTCATAATTTCTTACTGTGCTATATTCATCTCTGTGACCTGAGTTAATACTATGCCTACAAAAAGGCTTGAAGTGATGCAGGCATCATGATGTAGCATGAGGCTACTATGTAAGAGTTACCAGAACAGAAGGTCAGTTGGATAACTGAGATAGCTACTGAGTGAGAAGAGATTAGGGCATATAGAGAAAGGACAATGCAAGATTTCATCATGCTTCTCACAAAGGTACACAATTTAAGAATCATTTGTATCTAAAATTTTCCATTTATATTGCAATTGATTTTGACTAAAACCAAGAAAACTGAAACCACGAATAAGAGGGGACTTCTATACTAATTCAAGCACTTGGCCTCATCACCTAAACCACTCAGTGTTTCCTAATTGATCCTCCTGGGTCTTTTTTCACCCTTTCAGTACGGATATTGAACCCAGGGATCACTGAGCTACATCTCAAGCACTTTCTGTTTTTAGACAGGGTCCTCCTATGTTGCCCAGGCTGGTCTTGAATTTGCAATCCTACTGACTCAGCATCCAGGGTAGCCAAGACTGGATGCACCACCATGCCCAGCCTAACTCATCTTTCTACCTCCAATCTTTCCTTATGAACACCCAGGTAGTTTGAGATTTTCTTTTCTTTTCTTTTTTTTTTTTTTTTGTGTACCAGGGATCGAACTGGGGTCCTTGCGCTTGCGAAGCAGGCGGCGGAACCACTGAGCCAAATCCTCAGCACACACCCAGGTAGTTTAAGAGGTAGGGCTTCCATTCTGGGAGATTCAGGCAAGGAGGATAGCAAATTTGAGCCTAGCTAGGGCAACTGATTAAGATCCTATCTCAATAGTTTAGTGTGAAAGCTCTGGCTTTGATCCCCAGTAGTGAGTGATGGGGGTGGGGGGCTTGAATTCATTTCCAGAGATTCTAATTCAAAAGATTCAGTATAGAACCCAGAATCTACCCTTTCATAAGATTCTGATGGTCTAGGCATCACATTTTGAAAAAAAAAAAAAATTACCTCCAAAGACTGCTTCCTGATTATTAGGCTTTCTAAAGTAAATTCATATTCATACCACTTGAAACTCAATAACGTATAAAAAATTTTTGCTTATTACCTATGTTCCCTTCATGTGTGTACCTGCTAGTGCCATGAATTTCCTTTCACAGCATGCATCACACTAAAATGGTTTATGTATGTCTCCTTTACTAGAAACTCAGTGAGGGCAAGGCAGGGAATATTTTTCAAAGCAGAAATATATAAGCCAAGATCTGCTTGATACTGTAATTTAAAAAATGTATAACCGATATTGTGTAATAGGAAGAAAAGGTCTAAAGGAGTAGGGGAAGTTGGAGGGGTAGGGGAAAGGAAAGAAGGGGAAAGAAAAAATATGTGAAAAGGAAAAAAATGGAAATAAAGTCTTTGTAAATAGGGGAGGGTGGAGGGTGAAGGGAGGGCCGGGGAATGGGGAAAAAATAAGAACCAAGATACTCATGGAAATGTACAAGATCCCAATGGTGAATGTAACTGTATTTTATACCTAAAATGTACCAATAAACCTAATGAAAAAAAAAAAAGATCTGGAAGATGAGTGTGTAAATTAGACAAAAGGTAAAAAGAAAAGTAAGTTGCGGGCAGAGGTAACAATATGCACAAAGAGCCAGAGAACATAACTTTTCCCAAAACTATTTGTTCTTTCTTCTCAACTCTCACTGTACTTTTTATTCTTTTGGCAGGTACCACAAACAACCACATATAGTACTATATTTTATCTGTGTAACATTTATTCCCCTTGCCAGAGAATAATACTCCAAACAAAGGGAAGTACATTACTTATGTCAAGCAGGCAACAAATATTTGAATGAGGAAATACATAATCTTATTACCTAATTGCTTGAAAATATGTAGCACTTGGGCTAGGGAAACTTACAAATTAAAAGACTTATAGCAAGTTGAAAAAAATAATCTTCTCTGTGCTGTTACAGCCTGCAAAATACAGTTTCATCAACACCAAATCAAGTCCTATGATTTTTTTCTATAAAGACTGTAATTCCTCAGTTGCCAGGATATATTAACTGAAGGAGGGAAGTAAAGGAACATTTATTAAGTACCTACATTATTTTACTTAATCTAAATCTATTGAGTATTATTTCATCAACTCCATTATTCAAGAAAAGAAAGCAAGGCTAGAGAGACTGTCTGCATAATACAGCAGATAATGACCGAGCAGAGCTTTTACAATAAGTTTGCCTGAATATTTTCCCCTCATCTACCTCATCACATTACTTACCCAAGTTTAATCTGTATTTACCTAATTCATTTAAAGGAGACCGGTATAGTGGTAGAGTTTGACTTTGCTCTTTGAATATTATTGGAGTTGAAGCTAACTGATGATAAAAGGGTTTCCTTTGTGGTGTTTTAAATAGATTTGGCTCATAACTGTTGATTTTATATTCAGGTTCTTCTGCAGGTTCAGAATTACAGGGTGGAGCCTCTGATGAAAGTTCTTCAAACCAATTAAGGCTTATTGGTCCTAAATCTATAAAAGAAATAAAAAACTCATTCAATGACACAAAAAAATTCATGAGGCAATAAAAATCATAATAAAGACTTTGAAGGTTGTGTAGAGGGGCCTGAGCCTTCAACTGACCCTGTGGTTGGTGAGACTGTCACTATAGCAGAGTCCACAGACTCACAGGTCGACAGTGGTGATGTTGAGGAACTGGTGGAGGAACACTCAGAGGAACTGTCTACAGAGAAACTTTGGCTGAGCAATAGAGAATAGCAGATAAGGAGCTTTCTGAAGAAGAGGGGGATATCAACAACTAGTACAGAAAAGTTCTTCTGAAATAAAGGAAATCCTTTAAAAATGGACAGAGCTACATTTGTAGAGAAGACCCACCCAGACAGAGAAAAAGACAATCATTGCATTCACTTGCTTAACGACAATGTCATGTCACACTACAAAACCGCATTAAAGACAAGACAGACACAGAAAACCTTAGACCAGTTTTTAGTTTTGAAAAGGTTGAGACCCAGTGAACCAAAAGCAGGTCCTAGTGGGCTACAGACTCTCCCAAGGAGAGAAAGGACACCAGAGAGCCAGATTCCTGATGTTCTTATGGAAGGGACTCTCCTTCCACACAACAGCCACCTTCCATTCATCCTCCCTTCCTGCAAGGCAAAGATGTCAACTTTAATGGTGAGTACAGTGTGAAATTATTGTTTCTGGTAAACTAGGCACATTTTATAACTTTTTGGTGAATACACTAGGAAAATTATTGGTGTTTCTGGTAAATTATGCACATTATGCAACCCTTATTTATTATGAAAAAGTTAAGGGGTGCTTTGGGAGGTTTGGGACACATTATGGGTATTTCATTATTTCTTATGGGAAAATAGTCTTGACTTACAATCAACTTGAGTTACAACCAGCACTCTCGAATGAATAGAGTCCATAAGTCAAGGATCCACTGTATTACTTTATTTTACTTGTTTGAGTAGGTCCTCCTTTTATTTTTACTCTCTTCTTCTTTTCTCACTTTCAACTTGTTCCATTAGTACTTTTCCTTACTTTCTTTTCCGCTAGTTTAATTTCCATTCACTATTATTTATCCTTCTCCTAGCTGGCCATCTGTTACTATTATCCAATACCACTAATTTCTTTCTCTTTACCACTTAACAGGACCTTCTACATCAGTCTTACTACCTTCTTCGCATCTTCCATTGCTTTACCTTTCATAACCTATTTTTCTTTCTTTCTCTATGCTACAACAATGCATACCATTTACCCTTGTGAATCTACAGGTAGTTAACTATATCCTACTATGGGTCAAAACGGCTTTATGGTGAAAAGGGGTAAAAGGCTCTATTAAGGAGATATCTACTGTATATAATTTTCTGATTTATCTTAGATTTCACTATGTAAGTATAAATCTTGTACCTATGGTTAAAGGAGACAAAGTATTAAATTATAATAGTTTGTCACTTTCCAGTCTGTGTTTGATGCTATTGTCATTACTGACTGTACTGTTTTAGCAAAGGTGACACAGCTGTTGTGATCAATTAGTCTTCCTTGTACACCAATACCTAGATTGTCTGGACCCACAAACACTACAGTCCAGTACCAAAGAAGTGAGTGGTAGTACAAATAGTCCGCAACCATTCATCCCTAATACACAGAAGAGGCAGGATCCTGGGATAGGCTCAAAGGTCAAGAACCAGCTATACCTAGAAGATATCTCTGAAAAGTAGTCATTACCTAAAGAAGTCTTGATAATAGTAATAAGCTGACTACCATAAGCAATTTACAAGCCTCAATGCTTATAAACAAATTTTTAAAAACTATTAAAAAATAGAAAATGAGAAAATATAGAAGCAAGGTATAATCCAAAACATCCAACTCACCCCAAGTCCAGAGGGCACTGAGGTGGAAGAAATTAAAAACTGAATTGAACCACCCAGCTCAGTTTTCTGAAATGGTAGTATTGGAAGTAACAAAGCAAATGAATAAGTCTCTACACAAAACCAAAACAAAAATACACAGAAAATTAAAGAGATGATGACCATAATGAAAGAAATGGTTACTGAATCTAGAGTAGATAATGATAAAAAAAATAAGGAGCTTAGGAAAGACATGGAAACCATAAATGCTCAACATAGGAAAGAGCTAGATTCCACAAAACAGTATCAAACAGAAATTCAGGAGATTAAAAATTCTCTTGAAAGTATGCAAAACAGAATCAAGCAATGTGAAAATAGAATATCAGACCTAGAAGACAAGGTTGTGGTTGGCAATCATCAAAGGAAACACTTCTTAAAAATAGCAAAGGACCATGAAAACTCAATCCAACCTGCTAGATAATGCAAGGAAGACTAATATAAGATTAATTGGAATTAATGAAAAATCAGAAGATAGCACAAAGGGCATAAAAAACCTGTTCACAGAAATAACAGCAGAAAAATTTCCAAGCATGGAAAAAGAATTTGATGTGTAAGTGAGGCATATAAAACTCCTAATAGCCATGATCAGAAAAAAACTATAGCAAGGTATATATGTAGTCAAGATTCCCGAAATTCAACACAGAATCTTTTTTTTTCCATTAAGTTTGTTGGTACATTTTAGGTATAAAATACAGTTACATTCACCATTGGGATCTTGTACATTTCCATGAGTATCTTGGTTCTTATTTTTTTCCCCTTCCCCTGCCCTCCCTTCACCCCCTCC